GAATTTAATTCCGCATCTCCCAGTATTTAAATATGTTGCGAGAAAATTCCGTGACGCGAGTTATATCGAAAGTTGTGTGCAATCGCACTTGTACTCGTTGCGCTAGGAATTGTAGTTTTAATGCTATAACACGCGAACGCGGTGTCAAAATTAGATTGAAATGATTTTGTCAAATGCAGAATTTAATTCCGCATCTCCCAGTATTTAAATATGTTGCGAGAAAATTCCGTGACGCGAGTTATATCGAAAGTTGTGTGCAATCGCACTTGTACTCGTTGCGCTAGGAATTGTAGTTTTAATGCTATAACACGCGAACGCGGTGTCAAAATTAGATTGAAATAATTTTGTCAAATGCAGAATTTAATTCCGCATCTCCCAGTATTTAAATATGTTGCGAGAAAATTCCGTGACGCGAGTTATATCGAAAGTTGTGTGCAATCGCACTTGTACTCGTTGCGCTAGGAATTGTAGTTTTAATGCTATAACACGCGAACGCGGTGTCAAAATTAGATTGAAATGATTTTGTCAAATGCAGAATTTAATTCCGCATCTCCCAGTATTTAAATATGTTGCGAGAAAATTCCGTGACGCGAGTTATATCGAAAGTTGTGTGCAATCGCACTTGTACTCGTTGCGCTAGGAATTGTAGTTTTAATGCTATAACACGCGAACGCGGTGTCAAAATTAGATTGAAATAATTTTGTCAAATGCAGGATTTAATTCCGCATCTCCCAGTATTTAAATATGTTGCGAGAAAATTCTGTAACGCGAGTTATATCGAAAGTTGTGTGCATACGCACTTGTACTCGTTGCGCTAGGAATTGTAGTTTTAATGCTATAACACGCGAACGCGGTGTCAAAATTAGATTGAAATGATTTTGTCAAATGCAGAATTTAATTCCGCATCTCCCAGTATTTAAATATGTTGCGAGAAAATTCCGTGACGCGAGTTATATCGAAAGTTGTGTGCAATCGCACTTGTACTCGTTGCGCTAGGAATTGTAGTTTTAATGCTATAACACGCGAACGCGGTGTCAAAATTAGATTGAAATAATTTTGTCAAATGCAGAATTTAATTCCGCATCTCCCAGTATTTAAATATATTGCGAGAAAATTCCGTGACGCGAGTTATATCGAAAGTTGTGTGCATACGCACTTGTACTCGCTGCGCTAGGAATTGTAGTTTAGTCACTTTTACCGTCACCTTCGTCACGTGATTGAAGATTATAAAACTTCCAAAAAGTAGAAGTAAAAGTTCAATAATAGTTGTTAAATGAGTTAATATACGAGATTTGCCTTGTTTTTCCCAGATTTTTCAATTGCGATTATCTCCTAAACTGCCTCTTCATATAGACTTCATTCTATTCCGGATTGTAGGATAAATTGTTTATGTGAATAAGAGGGTACGTTCAGAATATATAATCTTTCCATTATATTGAACTGTATCCATAACATGAATAGTTTATACTCGTAGTTCGCACTCTTGGCTCTTATCGGTGTTAGTGCACAAACAACTTGTTTTTATTGCGTCGCAGCGCATTCAATGCGCTCAGCAGTGTTTGTTCCATTTCTTACTTAGTTGATCGTGCGCTGCGGCGTAGTGTGCACGCGTTTACTTGCGCGTCGGTCTTCATGGCGATTTGTAGCGTTTCTTGTGATTTTAAGTCATTACTTGAATTATAATCGGTCACCAAAGATAAAATTTAAAATTAACAGACAAGTGCGACCTATAACTCATTTATCGCGCGTGGAACCAAGAATGTCGTTGTTTTACAACGTACGCACCACGTGTTTTCCGTCGGCCGTCGGATATCTTCCGTCGGCTAAGAAATACTTAGGCTTGTTTCGTGTATCCATTTAATTATTAATTTGAATAAACATCATTTGTGCATCGTATGGAATATTTCATCTGCGAAAACGTAAAAAAGTATGTAACATAAAAACTATATTCTATTAGAATTACCAACCTTATAAAGAAAAACGATCAGAAAAATTAATTAACACTTTAATACATAGCATACATAGCATAGTCGTCACATGGTTGCATATAATACAAGTATTGGAATATTGTCGCGTTCCGTCGGCTGCGCATTCGCTCTCATTCGGGACTTTGTCGTGCCTTCTTTTTGGTGTTCATAATTCTGTCTGTGCTAATTTGTGTGTTTAAGAGATCTTAATTTAGTATTTCTTTAAAATGTGTTTAATAAATTTATAATTATGAGTAATTGGATATTTATTATGTTTCTATTCACGTACTTATCACTTTTTGATTTGGTATCACCCTGTATATAAATTTTTCTTAATGCTCGGCGAAAAATGAGCATAAGTATATTGTTTTGGGGTCGCTTTTTTTTCAAGTGAAGATTTTCTTTTGGCAACACCCTGTATGTAAATTTTCCTTTATGCCCAGTCAAAAATTGGCAATCTTTATGGTTTTGAGGTGATTTTCTTTTTTAATTGAAGATTTTCTTTTGATAACACCCTGTATATAATTTTCCACTGATGTCATACGAAAGCAGGGCGCAATTTGCTATTTTCTAGTGTTATCTGTTGTAATTTTGCAGCCGTTAGCGTAGCGTGGCTATGCAGGTCATAAACATGTTTTAAAATGACGTCACGTGTTTTGTAGGTATTGAAATTGCAAATTCTAAAGTTATATTGTACCTATTTAGTTTGTTAATAAAGAAATGTTAAAGGCAATGGCTGTGTCTTATGACTTGTGCACCCCATCCTTCTATCATTTCAGGTACAGGTCACAACTTGTAAAGTATTTCTCAATAATGTGGTCGGCTCTGAGAGCGGCGGCACTAAGAAATATCTCTACAAGTTCTCAAGGAGTTCTCCCACTTGGGGGATGATCCCCACTATAAAAATTGTTAAGGTATCCTGTATGATTTGTGTACTCCATCTTTCATTTCAGCCACAGGTCAGAACTTGTAAGAATATTTTTAAGTGTCCCCTCTCTTGAGGCGACTTAAAAATTTGAAATATTTTTACAAGTCTTAAAAGGATGTCCTTATAAGGAGTTCCCTCTCTCTGGGGATGATCCCCCACCATAAAAATTGTTGATATGCCTGATAATTTCGGGGATGAAGCGCAGAGACATCGTAGCTGTAGGATGGGCCGGGAGCAATGGACTGGCAGTGGGCGATCGACCAGAGCGCCGGAGGCGCTCAGGGAGATCGACCTACTGTCTTATAACGACACGTGCCAAAAAATTAAAAAATTCTGTCACCCCTATTCTCATTTCTTCCTGCACTCTCTTCTTCTTCTTCTCTTCTTACTTCTCTCCTATACTTTCTCTCCCGCTGCTGCTGCTGCTGCTCTCTATTTGCTCCTCCACCATCTTCTACTTATTCTTATTGTTGGTTGCTTCGTCGTACCCTGCTTTTCAAGTTATTTCTAACATTTGAATCTTGAATTTTTGTGGTATGCAACCCACATTTCGTAAATTTCTTATTATTTAATAAAATTGCCTTCTACAACTGAGATTCGATCCATGAACCTCCAGCATGCTAGCATATGCACATGCCACCTGAGCCACAACGCTCACTTATCAAACTCTATTCGTTTCAGGTATAAATGTTGTTGTTTTTGTCACCTTTTTAAAAACAACAATATTTATATATCACTTATATGCATTTCAAACACAGGTAATCAAATATGATCTTTAAATCTAATTCTGAAAACGACAATAGGAACATTGATAGATAACTGCTTCAAAATATACTATTAAATTATATTTTATTCAAACTCATATAATCAAGATAGTACATACACAAATTTAATTCTGTTACATGAAATTTAAGTACATGTGTTCAACGTGACTGACGAAAGGGACTTAAGTTACAAGTTACACTTACTTGAATTTAATCTTCACAACTGGTACGAAATGGATTTTACGGACATACGGCAAACAATCGTAGTATATTCCCAGGATTGAATTATTTAATAAATGCAAAAAATATATAAATCCAGAAAGAATTCTTCGTGTCGACGAGAGATATCCGACGGGCGACTGAAATCACGTGCGCACATTAAAAAAACAACTTAATTCATACTTCCACGCTCGATAACTTATTAATTCCGCATCGTATACATCTCAAAATGCTAAATTTTATTCCTGTCACGGAGACAAACAGTGTTCAGTTTAATAATTTAATATCATTACGCAAATAAAACCACGGGGACGGACTTCTTAACCGACGTAAGATATCCGGCGGCCGACGGTAAAAACGTACGATCATTGTAGAACTACAAAATTCTGGCTTTCACGCGCGATTATTTATTAACTGCAAGCCGCACTAGTTCGTTAATTCTAAATGTTATCTCTGCTGTTCGATTCTAATTCAACTACCGACTTAAAATCACAAGAAACGCGCAAACTAGTTACGAAGATCGACTTGTGAACATAACACGTGTGTACCGAACAACATTGCACGATCGACTAAACAAGGAAAAGATATAGCAGGCTACTGTAACGGAGCAGATATGGAAATGATAAGAATTTCAATACTCACAATTGAATGCGGGCACGATTGTATACGTTCAACTCCTTGACATCTAAAAACAAACAAATCAGATGCGCTTGTGACTTTAATTCATATTTAATTCGCTAAATTAACTAAAATTTAATAGCACCTAAATATAAAGATAACAAAAATAAAATCTAATCTGGTAATAATATATTACTTATTACGTAAATTTTCTCATCACAATAGTCTTCAAATTTTGTACCCACACAGGTAATATCCGACTGATGAAAATTACAAGAAGACACAAAATGTGCGCATTTATGAAAATTACAAACACAATTAATAATAACTCAATTGTCATTAACTGCAGTCGATTGCCAATTGAATATTGCACTTTAAAAACACGCGATGTAATACTACTGAGATACGCTTAGACTGCGCAACTAACACTGCCGGAGCCAAGTACAGATGACAATGTCGAGCGCCTAAGCAAAGTAAAGTGCGCAGCGCATGCGTACATGGCAATTAATATCTGTAAGAGTTGTATTGAGGGTTTTTGTTTTCGTCGCAAGGATCGCAACCTATTATACAAACATTTCACTATTGTATAATAAACATTTCGTGTACATATGCGTGTATTTTCGTTACATATAAAAAAAATCAACTTCGTAAAATAGCAGTTTATCAAATATCACTTTTGTTAGTCCTCACTGTGCGACACTAGGCGATTCGCATTAACATATTACGCCAACAATACATCTAAACAATCGTTAATATGTGAGATTACGTGCCTGTTAGTAACAATTATTGCTTCGTTTGTTTACATGTGCCTCGATTAAACGACAATACACAAACAAAGTAAAGTAAAAATACAAAATTAAAAGAACAACTAGAAACAACTGACGTGTAAAAATAGCATATCGTAAGTTGCATTAAACGTAAATGAGATTCGAAACAAAAAATAAATTCAAAATAGCGAACTAAACTAAATTCTTAACGTATGCATCAATAACGCGCGGCACGTATTCATCAAAGCCGCGAATGTCCAGCGAAGACTCCGGGAAGACCGTCTGCACCGGATTATTCAAATTATGCAGAACCAATCTACAACAAAAGAAAAAATACAATTCTTAACTATTGAAAGTAAAAACAAAACAAAACAAAACTTACTTGGTTGAAGACATATTCATGGCAGATTTGTATTTGACATACGCTTCTAGCGGATTTATTAGGAGATTATTCTCCGTTATAAAATGTTTGTGCAGCGGAGTGTGTACAATATTAATAAAAACATCGAAAGACTTCTTTTTACTTCTGGCGTATTCGATTGATGCGCCCATTTGCAACTCGCCGTGGTTAGCATCTTGCAAACATTTAATTGTTTGTTCAATTGAGTTACCTTAAAAATATAAACGTAAATTATTACATTTTTACTCATAACTTTTTATCTAATTGCGACATCAATGTGAAATTTTCACTGTTTGATAAAGAATGATGTAAAGAATCTGTTTTCTTGATAGAGTAGCAAAAACATTATTATTTTGTGAGTTATTCACTTTAGACCGTTATACTACACTTAAGAAAAAAACGTTTTTGTTTATAACTTTTGTTCTAATTATGATATCAATGTGAAATTTTCACTGTTTGATGAAGAATGATGTATAGAATCTGTTTTCTTAATAGAATAGCAAAAAAAAATATTATTTTGTGAGTTATTCACTTTAGACCGTTATACTTCACTTATAAAAACAACGTTTTTGTTTATAACTTTTGTTCTAATTATGATATCAATATGAAATTGTCACTGTTTGATCCAGTATTATATATAGAATCATCCACTGATTAAAAAAGCAAAAAATCATAATAATTCTGTGAGTTATTCTCTTTAGACCGTTATACTTCACTTATAAAAAACATGTTTTACCTTTATCAATCGTAACTTCGGTGATTGTATCCCCATTAAACACGGCAACTACAACATTCTTTTCAGTTTTCACATAAGTCATCACCTCAATAGCAGCGGCTTCGTATCCACTCAACCATTTACTAGTCAAACACGGTTTGGACATGTTTTCAGACACTTCCACCGTGATAAGAAAGCGGCGATTGCACGGCACGACATTAGCATAGGACAACTGCAAGCATTTCTTCAGAGCATCAACAACTAACGGACTATTTGTAGGGTCCACACGTGCCCAATTCGTCGGCGTGAATTCGGTGATGTTTTTCTCTGCTTTTTCCGCTTTTTCTTTCATTTCTAAATGTGCAATCAGTTTGGGATCTTTAGCTCTAAAATATAAAAACAATATTAATTTAAAAACTGACTAATTAATAATAATCATTATTAATTATAGCTGATTTTTCATAAAATAAAAAAACAAAATAAAACTTACTTTCCACCTTTCTCGAAGTATCTCAACGCGAGATAAACTTCATACGGATGCACACCAGACGCTTTTACCTTACTAGAGTCGCTCAAAATCTTCACAACACGATTGTGCGCCTCCGAATCGATTTTTAACATCTTCAGTTTATAGAAACGTAACAAAAGCGGCAGTAATTCTTTGACACCGATGTATTTCAGCAATGTTTCGAGACATTGCACATTGTGATTGAACTGTGGCGGAATTAATTCGAACGGTACTTGTTGTCCACTCATATATTTAACTGCTTCTTCAACAGAAGTCGTTTTCTTGAACGCTTGATTCTTTTTATGTATTTTATTATGTCTTTGCCCTCTTTCTTTTCATTTGCGATTGCTTCAGCAGCAGGTAGGCCTTTCAAAATGTACGTTATTGCTATCTGAAGCACTAAAAACAAAGAAAACACATTATTATTTAATAAAAATACAGAAAATACAAAAGTTATAAACAAAAAATATCGCTTTTTGTTGATAACTTTTTCTAGTGATGGTATCAACGTGCAATTTTCACTGTATGATAAAGAATTACTTATAGAATCTGTTTTTGTATAGAATTGCAATATGTTTTAATTATTTTGAGAATTATTCGCTTGAGACCGTTGTACTTCACTTAAAAACAACGTTTTTGTTTATAACTTTTGATCTAGCAATAATATCAATGTGAAATTTTCACTGTGTGATTAAGAATTACGTCTAGAATCTGTTTCTAGAGAGACTATTAATATAATATGTTTATTTTGTGAGTTATTGTGTTTAGACCGTTGTACTTCACTTAAAAAAATTGATTTTTGTTTATAACTTTTGATCTAGCAATAATATCAATGTGAAATTTTCACTGGGTGATTAAGAATTACGTCTAGAATCTATTTCTAAAAAGACTATTAATATAATATGTTTATTTTGTGAGTTATTGCGTTTAGACCGTTATACTTAATCGATTTTTGTTTATAACTCTTGATATAAGTACGATATCAACGTGAAATTTTCACTATTTAATTAAGAATTATACCTAGAATCAATTTTTATATAGAATAACAATGTATTAAGATTATTTTGTAAATTATTCCCTTTAGACCGTTGTTCTTCACATATGAAAAACACTATCTCACATAGTAAAAACACAGACCACCAAGAATATAACTTGATACTTACGTGTATTATCCGTTTTGATATGTGACAACTTTATCAAATCCTTGTGTGTCCAATTATGATACCCTTTCCTCTTGCATGCATCTCGCACCAGATCCATAGGCTCCTTATTCTTGTAATACCTCGAGATGACTTTATTCAAACCAGATGGGAACGTCTTCTTCATCGTTGTCATGTGTTTGATAAAACAGAAGAATTCCTCATCGTTTCTGCACGCATACAGTACAGTTGTGTACAATTCCCGGCGATAAACATCGCTGATGGAGAACTCGTTGGATGTAAGCGTGAGTGCAGCTGCGAGTACGAAGAAGATAACTTCGCGACGCGGCACTTGGTTCTCGCCGTTGATGGCCGACACGATGCGGATGACCTTAGCTGGATCTGTCTTGAGTAATTCTTCAAGTTCACGTAGTTTATGTCGTACGAGACGTTTGTGTCGCTGTGGATCGCCGGTGATGAAACAGTTCGAATCGGTGGATAAGTATAAAAAGCGACGGAGAGCCAACTCCGGTGTGTGTGCAGCGTTCGGGATCGTCATTTTTACTATGTGAACTTGTTTCCAGGTCTAATAATACTTGCGGTGGATGTTTAACGTCGTCGTAGCGCACTGTGGAATGTGGGGATTATAAACAGATGACGGTTGGCAAACCGCGAAAATGTGCTTATAGGTGCAGATGTTCTGCAACCAAACATACACGTTTTTTGTACAGTTTTACATTTTGCGTTGTTAAATACCTAAAAATCAATATAATTATTAATAATATTTAAAATATATAATTATTTATAATTTAGAATATAAAAATGTTTAGTTTTGTGTGTTAATAATAAAATGTTTCAATAATTTTGAAATTTTTCCAACTGTATGCAACCAGTTTTTCCCACCCACAACCACCTACATGCCGCCTGCGCGCAGTTTGATGTTCAGCTGTGTTAATCGATTGCGTTAACTGAACCAACTCAACAGATTGGTCAGTTCCTGTCGCGCAATCAATGCCAAAGCCGTCACAGCGCGGTTCGCAATACTCGCTCTAACTACTCTCGCGTTGCAAGCAAACAAACGAAGAGAAGAAGAAAATCAACAAAAACAAAATCATCTGTCAGTCAAGTGTCAAACTGACAAGCGAGTCGCACAAATCATTTTCCTCGCAAGAAAAACGCACCATCCACGCTGGGGAAAATGTGCGGGGGTTTCACGTGCTCGAAAAATGCGCTCATATCGCTCAACGTCCTATACATCGTAAGTGCGCACCATCCAGCGCGATTTTCATACAAAAATTGCGAAATTGCGACACATGTTTTAGGTTGTTGCGTCGATACTGATCAGCGTCGCGGTTTACGGCCGTGCCGCATCGATTGTAACAAATCTACCCATCATCGGCGGCATTCTAGCATGCGGCATTATATTGGTGCTCATTTCCCTGCTTGGATTAGTGGGTGCTGTCAAGCACCACCAGGTCATGCTCTTTTTTGTATCCTTTTACACAAAGTAAAGTAAAGTTTTTCATTAAGTGAAGTATAACGGTCTGAAGCGAATAACTCGTAAAATAAACATAATATATTAAAAGTCTCATTAAAAATAGATTCTAGAAGTAATTCTTAATCAAACAGTGAAAATTTCACGTTGATATCTTAATTAAATCAAAAGTTATAAACAAAAAACGTTATTTTCATAAGTGAAGTATGACGGTCTAAAGCGAATAACTCGTAAAATAAAGATAATATCTTAAAAGTCTTCTCATAAACAGATTCTAGAAGTAATTCTTAATCAAACAGTGAAAATTTCCCGTTGATATCTTAATTAGAACAAAAGTTATAAACAAAAACGTTATTTTCATAAGTGAAGTATAACGGTCTAACGTGAATAACTCCTAAAATAAACATATTTTCTTATTATTCTCTTTAGAAACAGATTCTAGACATAATTCTTAATCAAACAGTGAAAATTTCATTTTAATATCACAATTCAACAAAAGTTATCAACAAAAAACGCACTACTTAGTTTTTTGTTTATAACTTTTGTTAGAAACAATCTACAACTAAAATTAAACAATGAAGAAATTAAGAATTTAATACTGAATCAAACCCCGAAAGATTTTTATTCTATCTCAATGCATTCAAAAGTTATTCAACAAATTCCTTAATAAAACATTTAGTACATGGTGATTTTATTCCTGCTGTTCTTAATCCAATTCTCCGTGGCATGCGCTTGCCTCGGCGTTAACATGGAGCAACAAGAGCAGCTCGCCGAGCAGGTAAACCCTCTTATCTCTTATTTAAGCAGATGATAAAATTAAACCCATGTTTGAATTTGCATTAGGGCTGGGGACGCGTCGACAATACAACAAAGGAGGAGGTGCAAACACAGTTCAGATGCTGTGGATTCGATGAGCAATACAGCGCAAACGACACCAAAATGGGACATCCATCATGCGAGGAAGTAAATGTACGCAAAACTAAACAAAAATGCTGAATCATTAACCCAACCTAATCTAAAATCTACATTTTAGCTATTGTGCTGTCCGAGCAAGGCAGACATCAACTGCAAATGCAAGCCATGCATGCTAAAACTGCAGGAAACGATTAATTACGCGTTTAAACTATGCGGATGGATCGGACTGTTCTTCAGTTTCACCGAGGTAAGCTCCCCTCATTTAAACACTCACATAAAACCATTAATAATAATAATAATAACAATAACTAACGGTTATACTCGTATGTATTTGTTTGTTGCATGTATCATGGTGTTTGTTGTGACTAATGTCTACCGCTGGGGTTATTGTGATGTTGTAGTTTCTGGGCGTATGGCTAACAGTGCGTTATCGCAATCAAAAAGACCCGCGCGCGAATCCCAGCGCATTCCTCTAGAAACTCAACTGAGCTGGACACGAACACAAAAACAAAATGGTGGTTGTGTAATGGTGGTGGTGGCGATAATTTATTAACCAATATTTTAATATTTACTTTTAAATCTCTTCTCTTTTTTCATTGTTTTTAATGTTTTGTTTTGAAATCTATAGATTATTGGCGTTGTATACACTCGACACTATCGAAACTTGCAGGATCCGGACGAGAAACTCGCCACGGCCATTTTCCCAAGACATAATTTCACATATTAACATTTCAAACACTCAAAACAATCGAAAAGAAACAGAATATGCCATTATTTTCTAAGTATACAATCGAAAAACCAAAGAAAACAATTGAACAACAACAATATTGAATATTTTTCATTTAACATATCAACATCTGGAAAATTGTTGTTGTTTCAATTGTTCACTTTCATGTTTTGACTGAATTTATGTTTAATTAACGTGTAATTTTAATTTCGCATCGAATGGTGAATGGAACCAGTGTTTTTCTCTCAAAAAAAGACTGTAAATCGAACAAACATGTTTTACGTAACTAACTGTACGTGAAACACTGACATCACACTTTGAATATGCATATTGAGAGCATGAATATTCTTCCTAAACACTAAACTAATAGGTTCTCAATAGTTTAGTGCATAAATAATAAACTCAAGAAGTAAATAAAAAGTCACCTAGCTAGACACAATGTAATTAATTAAACAATTGAAATGATAAATGATCAATGTTTATAGTAAGATTCTAGTTGAGGTTAAAGCAAAGTAGATGGAAACTGATAAAAGCTCTCTGAATAATACAGACGTATTTTTCTAAATAATAGCGCAGCGTAAGTGCAAATATTTAATTTTAATTTTTTTGTTTTGTTGTAATTACATGCATGTCATCGATGTGTAGCTTATTTTTAGTATAATATGATCTTTCAAACTGACTGAAAATCTATAAATTAAATAATCAACGCTTGTATTTTGTGATGTTGATGTAATAATGTAAAGAAAACTATCACTAACTCAAATATTACGGTTGTAAAACGCTTTTGGAACAAATCAGTCACTTTTTGACAGTTTTTTCTTTATAACTCGAAAACTATTTGAGATAAATTGATAATTCTTTTGAAATTAGTTTTATTATTTAATTCCGCAACTTATATAAAAAAGATTTTGTTTATAACCCTATTATAAACGAAATTATAAGCAAAAACAAGAAATTTTGTTAAAATTTTACAAGTTTATTAATTATGATACTTTTTTATAAATTACTCGCAAACTAAACGTGATAAACTGATAATTCTTTCAAATTTAGTTTTATTATTTAATTCCGCATCTTATGAAAAAAAGATTTTGTTTATAACATCATTATTAACAAAGTAACAGGCAAAAATACGTAATTTTAGTCAAATGTTACTTATTCGTTAATAACTAATTACTGAAAATCATTATCAACAAAATTATTTCACCATATGATGTATAATTTAACCACGAATCCAAAAAAAAAGAATAATTATCCTATCTCAAATAGTTTTCGAGTAATAACAAAAAAACTGTCAAAAATGATGACTGCTTATTTTAGACCGGTATTCTTCACATGACCAAACCGCTTTCATTGTCTATAAACATATACCTAACCTATAAAAATACTACATGTCTATAAATACATCGGTCGTAAATTTATATTTATGCTGTGAATATTATTACATAGTATAGTAAATATATTTAATTACATTAAAAATGAACATGTTTAAAATATTTAATTTAAGGTTATGATACTTTCATTTGTGGTTATGTTGCTAATAAGCTTTATAAAACGGCGTGTGAATAGGATGATGCTTAAAGAACCTATTCGACTCCTGATGACCGAGCAAACTCTGCTGATCAACGCCATTATTCACCCCGTAGGTTTGACCTTGCCCGAAGGTCTGCTTCTGCGCATAATCGCCCTTATCAGCATTGGCGTTGTCAACATGATGGACATTTTCAACATGTCCTTGTTTACTGCTCTCGCCTTTGTTAAACTGACCATTATCATGGCCGCCTTTGTAGGCATTCTTCGCCTCTTCACCGAAACTACCCGAACTTCCCTTGGAAGTAAAATGGCCGCCTTCGTCATTCGCCTCGTCATAATATTCTTCAGTACGACCAGTTTCGTCTTTATGATGTGACGTTTTGAATCCTTTTACAATGTGACCCTTTTTATGACCTTGCTTCTGATTTTGTTCCCCGGCATTTTGTCCCTGTTGGTTGTAGTGTTGCGCACCTTGATAGTTCTTACCATCTTCAGATGCTTGCTGTTGACCTTGAGCGGAATGATAACTAGCGGTATCACCTTTACCATTGCGAATCTGTGCCTCACCACGATTGAAACCTTCTTGGTCTTGATGGCCTTGCACACCGGAAGATGTATGCGCGTTTTTGAACGATGCGTCTTTCTGCGCCTGGCTGCCATCTTGATAAACTGTTTTATCGGATATAGAACCGCCTAGTTGGTGTAAGTGTGGTTGTATACCATATGCAGGACCAATACCACCTATACCTCCAATTCCACCTACTCCCAACGCTTGAATCGGTGGTTGGTAAGCCTGTGGCTGTTGTTGGAACGCGAATGGTTGTAGAGGGCGCTGGAGTTGTCCGCCAGGCGCGCCGAAGTTACCGAAACGTGGCTCAGGGTAATAACCACCTTCTACAAGATGATAACCATGCACTGGCAAACCGGAAGCTGCCGTTTTTAAGTCTTCTGTTTCATATCGATATTTATATAAAGGTTTTCTCGGTTGTAGTTCTTGACAGCGCACCAAAACTACCACACACGTCACGAGCGCCATTTTGACAATCATTCTAGCCAACATAACTATTTTTCACTACTTTTTCTTTTAAATAAATTTCTAGTTGTTTTAGTGAAAACTCTTCAGATAACTGATGACAATAAAGCCTAAACCTAAGATATTTATACTCTTGCACCCACCATCTTGTTAATTAATCTCTTCAATGAAATGCCAATCGGCGTGTCGAATCGCCGACGAAACGAATGTGCGCCATCATGCGCGAACGCTCTCAATGAAATACCATCGCGGATTAAAACGATAACACGGTATTTCCTCTCGGCGACCAGAACCAAGCAAATTACGCTGCGCGTTTTGAGGTTAAAACAAAAGACGGACGAAAATTTCTTTGCATTCGCCACAGCCTTGATTAAATCTATCGGATTTAGAGTTTTTCTGTTGGGTTATAAGACATTGAAGCCGAAATTCAATTAGTGTAAACTAATAAGGTCAATTTATAAACAAAAAACGAATAGCGAGTAAATTTGAGAATATAGGCAACCAATTTGTTATTAAGAAGGTAGTATTATGATGTAATTTAATTTTAAAAGGAAATTGTGTTCTAGATTTACGTATAACCATTTTTAGCGCATGCGTAGTAAAATATTTGATATACAAGGTGTTTTAAACACTTTGAAATCTTTCTTTTTTAAATTTCTCCAAAACCAAAAGTGGTAAGCTGACAAATCTTTCAGAAATAATTTTACGATTTAATTCCGCAACTTTTACAAAAAAGATATTGTTGATATCATTATTATTAACAAAGTTATAAGCAAAAAACCGCAACTTTGTTGAAAATTTCCAAAATTTGCTAATTACGATGTTTTTTTATTAATTACTCGGAAACTAAATGAGATAAATTGATAATTTTTTCAGAATTAGTTTTATTATTTGATTTCGCAACTAATAGAAAAAAGATTTTATTAATAACATTTTTATCCACAAAGTTATAAACAAAAAACGCGCAATTTAGTAAAATTTTATTAATTTGTAAATAACTAATCGCAGAAAATGATTATTTCAATTATTTTTTCATAATGTGACGTATAATTTAATGACTAATTTAGTACAAAAAGAATGGTTGTCATAACTCAAATAATTTCCGAGTATTATAAATAAATAAACGAAAAAGCAATAAATTTTGTAATATATGCAACCAATATGTCCTTAAACATGCACCACCACGATGTGACCCAGTTTTAAAATCGAAATTGTGTCCTAGTTTCACGCAAAACCATTTTCAACGCATGCGCATTAAAGCACCTAACATACAGTGTGTTTAAAAACACTTTAAAACCCAAAAATACGCTTTACACCAACAAAAATACTAAAATCTTGCTTATAAACCTCATAAAATTTAAATTTTCGATGAAAAAATTAAATAAAAGCAAAATAACTAACCTTAAGGGTCAAAATTGAAGGGTAGTGTGCAAGTGGCAGGTGGTGGATGCGCTCCCCTGTCGCACGGATCGCTCGAGGGTTGTTTTTCGGCTCAGTCGAACGCGAAACATCGCCGCCGCCGTGTCACACACATCAGCCGCTCACCAACCACCATCCCCATTCGCTTTCGTCGCCCTTTCTCTCACATCTCGTAGAATCACCGATCCTGCAATCGTGCAAACATAAAACCTTTAAAAATCATCGTGCGGCTACCACCCAAGCACACAAAACCATCAAAAAACAAAGAAATCGCAGCGAAAACAAAGAAATCCTAAACAAAGTGACATCTAATCAATAAAATTAATAAATTTCATCAGAAATCAACTTGAAACAGTGGTAAATTACGTAATTTCATCAGCAAACAAACGAAATTAGTGTTTCTGGGTGTGTTTTAATCAATTGTGTAACAGGCTGCTATTAGGGTTGCCTCTCTACCGAGTGAAACAATTGTGTAAATAATTCTTGGCTACCGTCTGCGGTAGCTATCGTGAGCGTTACACTTCAACCGCCAACATTTTCAGGATGTCGTTATCCGAAGAGGAAAGAGACGAGTAAGTATTGTATTGGGACACTTTGTATACGAGTAACATGGATGAAGGTTGATTGTTGCGATAAGTGAATTTAATGTGTGCGTGTATGAAAATTTATTCTCGTTGCTTTATGCGAATGGAACGCAACACAGCGAACGCACAACGCGTGTTTGCTTGTGTGCGGTGGGTGGCCGATGTGGTATCGATCCAATTGATGGCAAGCAGGCGTAAAACTAAGAAAAGTACGCAAACAAAACGAAAATATGAAGAAAATAGAAGAAAAGAAAAGAATAACTTGTTAGAAGTTAAAATTTTTCTCAAAATCATGAAAAAACGAAGAATTATTTGATTAAATTTGTGATTACTCGAAAAGTAAATGAGATAAATTGATAATTCTTTCAAAATTAGTTTTGTTATTTAATTCCTCAGTTTTTCAGAAAAAGATTTTGTTTATGTCGCTATTATTAACAAAGTTATAAGCAAAAACACAAAATGTTATTACAATTACGTTGATAACTAATTACAAAAAATTGTTATCATTAAAACTATTTCAGAATATGATGTATAATTTATCCACAAATTTATTCCTTAAAGAATGGTTATCCTATTTCAAATAGTTTTCGAGTAATAACAAAAAAACTGTCAAAAATATTAACTACTTAGTTTAGACCGCTATTCCTCACATAACGAAAAACTTAAAAATTGTTAAAAATTAGAAATTTCACTCAAAATCATATAAAAACAAAGAATATTGATCAAATTATTTGATAAAACTGTCAATATAAGGTTTTAACCTTGAAATTTATATCAAAATGATGTTATTTCTAGCAAAATAGACGAATATCATAATGAGAGCATCGAAAATCGATGCGCGGCTGAATATTTAATGGAAACATCACTGAAAGTAACAATTTTGAGGTCAAATCAGGTGCAACGTTGAAACCTAACCTAATTCTACCACTAATGCAATTTTTTACGTAATTACACGCTGATTATTTCCAGCTTAACGATTAGCAATAATTAGCTGTCGCAATTCGCGCAATTTTACGAGTGTTTAAGCCAGCTTAACTTTAATTGATCTAATTTATTTAATTATGCAAGATACTCGTAAGTCGGAAGTCACCATTTGAAATTAATATTATCTGTTGGGTGCACTTAGTAATTTTTCGTCAATTGCTAGGAGATTAGCGATAATATCTCGTAAATAATAATTAATCAATAATATAAATATAAAATGCACGTATGTTTACGAGTAGATAAATATTTGTGTCTGATGACAGTTAAACAAAGGATTTTTTAAAGTTTTAAGAAAGTTTTTTATTAATTACTCGGAAACTAAACGAGATAAACTGATAATTCTTTCAAAAATAGTTTCATTGTTTAATTCCTCAATTTATTAAAAAGAGATTTTGTTTATAACATAATTATTAACAAAGTTATAAGCAAAAACACGGAATTTTGTTAAAATTTTACTAATTTGTTAATTACGGTGGTTTTTTATTAATTACTCGGAAACTAGACGAGATAAACTAATAATTCTTTCGTAAATAGTTTCATTGTTTAATTCCGCAACTTATAAACCATAGATTTTGTTTATAATATTATTATAAACAAAGTTATAAGCAAAAACATGCAATTTTGTTAAAATTTTACAAATTTGTTAATAACTAATTAATGCAAATTAATATGAACAAAATTATTTCATAATATGATGTATACATTAATAACAAATTTATTGCAAAAAGAATTATTATCCCAAATATATTATCTCAAATAGTTTTCGAGTTATTTAAAAAAAACTATCAAAAATGATGACAGAGATATTTTAGAGCCATACTCTCAGTACAAACAACTTTTTTAGGTTATATCAACATACCACCATAAAATATAACCTATAAAAATACCACTTGTCTATAAATAATATCCCTCTTAAATTTATATCCTAAATAAATCCCTAATCCTTAATAAATAAACAAATATTCCCAGAATATTATCAATAACATCGCATAAACATCGATTAACAAACACTAAAATCAAAAACCGCACGTATACATCAATAATTATATATGTCTAGTGACAATTTCATAATATCCCACATAATATCACTCATAATATTAATTTATAGTACTTTGATAACATTTTTGACAAAATTTCATTAGCGATAAGATAATAACGCGATCGAGATTTGTTTTCGTTCGACGTTCGTGCGTTAGCACTCGATTAAAATGATTAAAACGATAACCTAGACCTAGGCATTGAGCATTATCACAACACTAATTCCTCAAAAACAACCGGAATCAATCGTATCACCCACTATTTTTCTACAATCCAGTCATCTTGGGAGAAATTCCAAGAAACAGTTTCCAAGCTCGAAAACATATACGAAGTTAAAATAGCGAGTTAATTTAGATAAGATTGTTTTGTGTGTGCATCGCCCACGATTTCTAGTTAAGTCATACTCTGATTCAGAATCGGTTTGTTATTATTTTCCTGCGCACTGCATTTCTAGGAATCGCAATCAGGTGATAAACGTAGAATGATAAAAGTAGTGATGTTGTCGTGTCAATACATGTAAAACACATAAAAGTGATCTAGATATGGATTATGTGTCTAAAAATCGTCATTTTATCAATATTGCACAATCTGATAAGGCGATGAATGCAATTGATCAAGTCATCGGATGTGTCACTGACGTTTGCACTCAGGATTAATGATTTTTCGAGTTTTTTTGCAAATTTAGCGATTTTATTGTTCAATTTTGTTTTTTGAGATAAGAATAATTAAGATAATTCAATAAATGCAATTGTTTAAGTGGGTGAATGTGAACTTTGAGTTTAATACCGGTATTTCGGTTAACCGGTATTTTTTTTACATAAAAACTGGTAATACCGGTGTTTAAAAATTAATTATTTCATCACTAAATTATTAAAAAATAAATATATGAAAATAAAAGTACCGGTATACCGGATATTAATACCGGTATTTTGGTTAACCGGTATTTTTGTTAATAAAAACCGATAATACCGGTATATTGGTATTTCTAAAATAAATTATTTTATCAAAAAATTAATTAAAAATAAATATTTGAAAATAAAAATACCGGTATACCGGATATTAATACCGGTATTTTTATTTTTTCACGTTTTAAGCAAAACTATCAACGTTTTTGCTATTTTTATTTCTAATATAATTCTAAAATAATATTATACTACAGAATATGAAGTAATGAAATGTTGTAAATAATTTTATGCGTTATCATTGATGACTATGCGTGTGATTGTGTGGGTAGCACCGGTTCGCGCCCCTTTTTTCGAATATAAACACAACGCGAGCGCAGTGACACGACGCAGTTGCGAATCGACCATCCTTCCATACGGATCGAATAACATCGTGTATCTTATAACCGCATTAGTTTAGTATTACTAGATCCAAAACTAAAACTGAAGTCTACAGATAATTTAATTTATTTTATTTTCATTTAATTTAATTAAAAACGGTTAAAATGTCGTCGTGTGAGTTAAAATCACAAAATGGCAATGGTAAACTTAAAGAGGAGGAAGAGAAAAATGGCAACGGGAAAGAATCTGATACAATGTAGGTTGAAATAGTGAAATAGTAAATTAATTTTTAATATTAATCAAAGGAAATGTGTGATTTTTAGTTGAAATTGTTTTAAAGTTGAAATTTTATGTCGATTTGTTTGTTTATTTTCTAGGTATCCAGATGGGACGGTAAAACTGCGCAATCCAAACATCGAGCTGATGGACCAAGATATTCTCTACCATCTGGCACTTGGAAGTGGTTCGCATGATTTGGTTGAGATGTTCGGGGATGTTAAGGTAAATTTCATTCATTTTTACGTTTTAAACTTTAAATTTTTCAACATTTTACGTAGTTTTTTGATGATTACTCAAAAACTTGATGAGATAAATTAATAATTCTTTCACATAATTATTCTGCGTTAAACTACGCATTTAATGACATTTTGAATATTTTGAAAAACATTATTTATAAAAAGTTATAACAAAAAGAATAGAACATTTTGAATATTTTGAAAAACATTATTTATAAAAAGTTATAACAAAAAGAATAGAACATTTCTAAAATTCTAGTTTTTCGTGAGTCACTCAGTATATAAAATTTTTATGAAATAAGTTTAAATATCATAATATGCAGAATTTAATTGTGCATCTGCCTGCAAAAGAATTATCAATCTACCATTAATAGTTTTCGAGTTATTAATTAATTACTAACCCAAAAACACAAAATTATTTCATAAAAATCTCAAACACTTTGTTTTATCACACTAATTATCAAATAATTTAAAAACGCGATACGATACAATCACCATTCTTTCACCAAAACCTTCACAATTAAATTCTCTATCACTCTACTTAAAGATCGCGTTAATAAAAAAATTATATCACCGATTGCAGCAACAAAAACGCGCAAAAACAAAAATAAACAAAAACCATTAATCGAACCACTTTCAAGTGTTCTAAACCACTTATAACATCGTAACTCAACATAGCCAACGTGATTATGATAAACTCGATCCAAGTCACTAGGCGTAGAATGTAAATTCAAATAATTTGCATAAATTAATCGAAAGGTTATCACTCTTGCTTTTCGCAAGCAGAAAAATGTCAAATTCTTGAATAACATTTGCATAACACACATAATATTTATCTCAAACTGTTTTATTAATCATAAAACAATAATTTTCATTAATATTCCATCCGTCAGATGGCGTTGGTTATGAAATAAACGTCATTAAAATGACGACACTATCTTGGCATCTCCTAAATTGAACTTTATAGCGCGCAATTAGAGATTAAACGGTTAAGATTGGCATCAAGGCCGTATACACGCAATAAAAACACTAAACATTGAAATATACAGGGTGTTGTATATTGTGTTGTTGTAAAAATAACTAAAAATGATATATTTTTAATTGTTTTAGTTTATTTGTATGGGAGGTACTCCAAAACGCATGGAAAACTTCGCCAACTACATTATGAAAGAAATTGGTCATAAGCTACCGACGGGCACGACGCTTTTCGACATCAGCCAGTATTCCTATCGTTATAGCATGTATAAAGTCGGACCGATTCTTTCAATCAGTGTAAGCATTAGATAATTGCGTATAGTACCGGTATACCGGTTTTTTTATTTATTTTTAAATACCGGTATTTTTATTTTTGTGAGAAATACCGGTGTAAATATCAGTATTTCACTTTTTTCTTGGAAATACCGGTATTAAAACCGGTATACCGGTATTTCTCTTCCCAAATACCGATATTCAACTTCAATATCAAAGGACAAATGTCCTAATATTACTTAACCTCAACTTAACCTCAAAAAATCTAATGATCACGTGATATAATTTTTAGCATGGTATGGGCGTGCCATCAATCAGCATCCTGCTGCACGAGATAATCAAGTTGATGTACCATGCGCGCGTCAAAGACCCGGTCTTTTTTCCGCATCGGCACATGTGGTGGCATCGGCGTAGATGGCGGCACTGTCGTTATCAGTGACGATGCGTGCGACGGCATGCTTAAGGACTACTACGAGGTGCCCATGTTGGGCAAAAACGTTCGCAGGCCAGCGAAACTTGACAGGCGTTTGGTGCGCGAGATTAAAGCGTGTGCGGATCCGGAGGATCCGTATGATACCGTCACGGGGAAGACAATGTGTACGAGTGACTTCTATGAAGGTAAAATAACAATATTTAATCTTTTTTATGTTTTTGGAGAAAGGAGTCTTTTTACGCCGTTTTTACACGTTTTGAATTCAAATTTCGCGGTAAAAAGTAGCCTATGTTTTAGTCTGATATATAAACTATTATTTTACAAAGTTGTATCAAAATCGGTTGAATAGTTTTTGAGTTATCAATTAACAAACATCCAAAAACCCAATTTTTCCCATTTATAACCCTCTAAATTTATTTTCATGTACATTTAAGGTCAAGGCCGATTGGATGGCGCATTCTGTGAGTATAACGAACAGGATAAGATCGACTACCTCAACAAACTAAAAGAATCCGGGGTGGTTAATATCGAAATGGAGGCGATACCCTTCGCTGCGCTCACTCATCACGCCGGTATAAAAGCTGCCATTATTTGCGTCGCGCTCTTGGACCGTTTCAAGGGTGACCAGGTAAACATAACCAAACATAACCTTTAACTTTTCAAAATTAATGTTTTTTTCTTTTTTTTGTATTTTTAGGTGTCTACACCGAAAGAAGTGTTGAACGAATGGCAAATTCGACCGCAAAAACTGGTCGCCAGTTACATCAAACGTTATCTCCAGTCGAAAGGAAGACATTCCTTCGAAGGACACGGTTCGATGGCGGTGAAGAGCCCGCGGCGATTCAAATTGGTGCAGCAGGAGTCGCAAACTTTCGAATAATTACGCATTTTGTTTCTATTTTGATTTATTTTTAAGTGATTCAATCAAAAGTTTAAGGATTTTAGTTGTATAAGCTTAATTATTGTTGTAATAATTACATATTATTACTGATTATTGATTATTTGGTTGTTTTATTATTATTAAGTATTGATAACGGCCTAGAAGTGATTTTTTCCACGCTCAACTTCACCTTTTGTAGTTATATCTTCAGAAAATGTTGAAAAATGAAAAATTGTTTTAGTAATTTGTTAATTACTCGAAAACTAAATGAGATAGAGTGATAATTCTTTCACGGGGTGATTAAGTATTAAATTCTACTTTATATTCTGTTAAGATTTTGATTTGGTCAGAAGTAATTAATTAGTTACTAACAAAAAACTAATTTTATTTATAAATTTCACATATCAAACTTTGATCGGCGATAATTTTGTTAATAATTATTACTTTTATTAATTTAAAGGCAAAATAAACCAGAATTTAATACAGAATACCCTACTGAAGAAACTACTACTCTAACTTATTTTGTTATCGAGTTATCAGACATTTTCCACGCTCAACTACAATATTTCTAGTCGTATCTTCATAAATACGAAGAAGAGAAACAACAATTTAGTTTATTGTTAATAACTCAAAAACTAAATAAGTTAGAATGATAATTCTTTCAAAATATGGTTAAATATTAAATTCTCCGTCAAACAATGCCATATTTATACTTTTAGTATAAACAATTAATTAGTTATTAACAAAAAACAAAAATTATTTATAAATCTCTAAACAAAAACTTTGATCGTCGATAACTCCATCAATAATTACAATTTATACAAAATTTAAAAACAAAATGAACCAGAATTTAACTCTAAATCTACCACTGAAAGAATTAACACTCTATCTTAATTATTTTCTGAGTAATCAGTAAAAAAACAAATGTTATTCTACTTTTAAGTGAAATAATCATAAACCACATACAATCAAATCAACGAGACCGAATATTTTCTTTCGAGCGTAATTCTAACCTCAACCAAGCGTTAAAACACAAAAGCACACATTACTTAACCTAGAAAATTAACCTAAATCCGTGTGCTAATGTCTTGTTGTCATTTTGTACACTCAAACACACACGAAACCAAAACTTTCTTCGCTTCGCTAACATTTAATTTCTACCCAAACAATAAAACTATTCCCATCGACCAAATAATTATAAAAAAGACGAAAACGATGGACAAAAACTAACATATCATTCGAAATATTATCTATCGCCCGGTTGGATGCCAAAAACACTTAAAATTACAAACTAAACTTATCAACTTATCAACATCTAGTGTCAAACTAATTATTTCCACTTGAAAAAAACCGCAATTATTTAATTTTATTGTTGAAGGATATAGAAAAATTGTTGTAAAACAAGATTCGTGACAATATTATATCAGCCTACGCACTTGAGTGATTGATTTGTGAAACAAACTTTGTTTTCGTACGCAAAACACTAATTAATTATAGAAATACTAATGAAATCTATCTAATCAAGACGCCTATAAATGTAAATGAATGTAATTAAGTCCTAAGATGATATATAACGTTGAAGTTGTTGAATTTGTGCGCTTTAAACAAACAAAACACATAATTAGCGCATGAAAAACCTGTTCGAATCGATGTTGTCGCAAAACTTTCATGATTATGAGGAAGATTTTGAAGCCTAAGCAAAGAAAACGTGTTGATATATTCATATTACTAATATACTACAATTACCATTACGTATAGTGTGTGGTCGTTGGTAATTTATAGCGATTTTTCGTGTTTTTAGCGTTTTTAGCTGAAGAGTTTTGATTGATTCAAGTGTAATCAGCCTCACATTATGATATTATATAAATATTGTACTTACAATGTTGTATATTATATATAAATACGTATTAAGTTTACAGTTTAAACAATTTGATGTATGTTGTTATAAGTATTTAGCGCAAATGTATTGTATACAACCGAAAATACAGAATACGAATACGAATATACAAGTTACATTTATTGTTGTCTTATTAAATGCTTGATTACGTAATAAATAAACAATCTACGAATGATATTTAAATTGTATGTTGTGGGGAATTTAATTAGGTTTCATTTGATACCTTGTTTGAGTTTGTAGTGAAACTATATTTCTTAAGTTATTAATAAAAATAGAACAATAAAATGACATAATATTCAACGAAATGATGCTAAAGTGCATCGCAGCGCCATCTATGCAACCCAATATGCAGTGAATGTAATATTGCACGGTTTGAATTTATGAACAACTTTAATTGCTTGTAACTTTGTTAATACTTATCACAGATTATTCCAACAAGCGTAAAACGAAAGATTATTAAATTCTATGTTGATAAACATCAATTGCTAATGTTTAAAAATGTTGACTACTCCATAATTCGTTAAAATATAATGAAAAAACGTTGAGATGCAACATGAATTTCTATTTCACGTTATTTCATGTTTAGTTTTCGTTTCGTTGCATTGTGTTTATAAACAACAACTCTGTTCGCTAAACCTGTTTCGAACGCAACTTCTTATCAGTTGAAACGTTGGAATGTAAGATATCAACACTTACCGCTTGCTGAATCCAACCTCGTTGGAAGCGTTGAAGAAGTTGAATTAATACTCGAAATACGAATATTAGCAAAGTCTTTCTTGTACAGCATATGCACTACGACGTACACGCTGTAATTCGTTAATTAATTTGATTAATTTAAGAGAATAACACACCGGTAACACGATAGGCACGCGCGCGACACGAAACGCGACTTGATTCTAATCTGCACAGGTAGAAAGAACGCTACGAAACGAAGCAAGTAGGGATATCGGCGTCAAGCGTAAAAGTGCATTGCAGCGCCATCTATGTATGCATATAAAATTATACTTGACATTGTGCTATTTGAATTCCTTACGGAATTCCTAAATATAAATTGCTTATAACTTTGTTAATAATTAGTAGTTTTATGAAATTTAAAAACAAGATGAACCAGAATTTAATTCTGACTTAATTAGTGAAAGAATAAATACTCTAACTTGTTTCATCTTCGAGTTATCCGAAGTTTTTGACACTTTTTAACGTATTAAGGCAATTAACATGTTTTTCAAAGGAAAATTGTTTATAAATTTGTTAATAACTAACGTAGTGGTACCAAATAAACGCCAAATGATAGATAATTAAATTTCCTAGGACCTTAACGTTTGAATTTTTCGGAAATATGATAACTTAAGCCGAAAACTGATAAAAATGTAATAAAAATTAAACATGGCATTATATCACAATTTAATTACTTGATATCTCTCTAATTGCGATAGCTGCATAAAATATGACAAGTAATATTTGTAGAGAAATTAATTATCTTTCATTTCACATCATTACCAGCGCCATAACTTAAAAATCAACAAAATTACAACCAAAAAACAACAAACAAACTATTTTTCACGACTCTCACGTCATTTAAAGAAATATTACTTGTTTACGCCGCAATTACTCAAATAATTACAGGTAAATAACCCATAACTTAATAAATAATTAACGTGGAATCATTAAACACGCGTCAGTACCCAAATAATTACACTTCTCGCCAGTTTACACGCGTGTCAAAGCGCAATCGAGCATAAAACCCATTGGAAATAATACACAAATATATTTACACAATAATTTACAATAAATAATATTGTCACCTTGAAACACCACATCCACTCAAGCCTAAACACCTCCCCTCAACGTTCAGCTCAAATATATTAATACATCTTTTCTTTATTTTTATACACTGTGTTCTCCACCTGGTTTTCATACTGGTTTCAGATAAATCTCTTTTAATAATCTTTGCACTAAAATGGCTTACAATGTAATGTATATCACAAATATTGGCAAAACAATCGCACAGACGCCTTAACTCCGGTTGAATGTTCGTGTACGTCGCGTCCACAGCGCAAAATATAGTCTAGGCCTTGCGAAAACAACACACGGCTCGTCTATTTAAAACCAAAAAACGAAAGAAAAGTGAAACGCAACGCGTTGTGATAATATAATACTGCTAGGAGTGAATATGCAACAAGCTACAAACCACGGCAGCGAAACACGTGTCCCCCGGCTGGCACACACACACATAAACTGGATTCGTTAATAAAAGTGTCTTCGTTTTGCTATACAAATTTGATATTAACTACTAAACAGTCGGTGGTCGACGCGCGTGGTACTTTGTCTTTTTTGTTTATGCTTCAGCGTTGACATCCGGCTTTAGGGCTACCTGTTGTCGTCCATGAGCACCTGGGTGAAGACACCCGCAGGGAACATCTGGGATTTCACTTCGTGGCTGCCCAGGGCCGTTGTGCCGTCTTTTGCTATAAACAATTGTAGACCAGAAGCTAAAAACAGAAAAAAATTAAATTTCGCAACATTAATTGTTTATAACTTTGTTAATAATTAATACTTTTATGAAATTTAAAAAGAAGATGAAGCAGAATTTAATTCTGAATAGATTCATGAAAGAATTAACGCTTTAACTTGTTTTGTTATAAAGTTATGCAATTTTTTAAACGCGTAACTTCAAAAATGTGAAGAAAACAAACAATAATTTAGTTAATTGTTAATAACTCAAAGCTAAACCAGCTAGATTGGTAAACCTTTCAGAATATGGTTAGATATTAAATTCTGTATCAAATTATGATATACTTTTAGTATAAATAATTAATTAGTTATTAACAAAAAACTAAAATAAATAATAAATTTTCAAACACAAACTTTGATTGACGATAACTCCATCAATAATTATAATTTTTGCAAAATTTAAAAACAAAATAAACCCTAATTTAAAGCTGAATAGACTATTGAAAGAATAAATATCCTAACTTATCGTGTTATCGAGTTATCCGACTTTTTCCACGCGAAAATTTTAAATTTTAGTAGAAAACATGAAAATGACAAACAATTTAGTAAATTGTTAATAACTCAAAAACTAAACAAGCTAGATTGATAATTCCTTCAGAATATGGTTAAATATTAAATTCTCCATCTAATAATACCATATTTATACTTTTAGCATAATTAACTAATTAGTTATTAACAAAAAATCCAAAATAATTATATTTACATTCAGCTGATTCATCCGTCTGATCCAACTTGGTATTCTTTATAAGCTCCTCGATCAAATGATCAGGATTAACACGCGTGCCCTCAACGCGTCCAGTTGCCGTGACTTCCGGTTCCGCCGACTGCGTTTTCTTCCGGCGTTCGAAAGCCGCCTTAGCACGATCCAAAGACCCCGTCTCCGATCCCACCAAACTACTTGAACTAGGATTCCTGCAACAAAACCCCACATGAAACAAACAATACCTAACCATAATCAAAAAACAAGAAACAAACATTTAAAAAAACATAAAATATACAACTGAAAACAACACACAACGCAAACAATATAAAATTTAAAAAAAGACAAAAGTAGACATGTGATGACATCGAATGAGTACTTTTGGACTAACTGCGTGATGCTGGGCCGTCGCTGCGGATTGTTTTCAGCCGTCTGTTGTTGCTGATGTTGATGCTCATGTTCATCATTCTCCGGCGACGTGGACATCGTCATCGACATCGACATCGGCGTGAGCTTGGCGTTGTTGAGCGCATTGTCCAAGAGCATCTTGCGATGGCCCATTCTGTAAATTCGGCAAATCAAGAAGGAACACGCACGCGCGCGCATGTTAAGAGATTAAGTCAGCCATTTTAGTCACATAGAAAGCATGGAGAAGGATATTAGTGTATTAGTAGTCATAAAAACCAATAAAAAATGAAAAAACAACACAAAATGGACGATAGGTATTAAAAGTGTTAGTTACCCGCTCTTCGGGGAGTCCCAAGGTCTGAAAAACAGTCCCAAACTAATAAAACTACAAAATGGCGCAGAAAACCTAAAAATCATGTTTAAAAAAACCAAAGAATACGATTCCTACCTGCTTATTTGCGCTTCAAACGCCTCGAAAGGATTACCCCGAGCATCTGTGGGTGTTAAAACACGACATCTATGCCCATCGTGGTTCATCATCAAGGGATCACACTTCCTGCGCCCAATCGGCGTCAAAAACGGGCGGAAAGCATCGCGAAACGTACAATCCGCTGGCACCACAGCCGCATTCTGCGAGCTCTGCAACCTTGCTAACAAACTACCACGCGGTACACCTGGTTGCATACCATTCGTAACCTCACAACAACACACCGCATTGAATGGCTTACAGGGTATCTCATAATCACTCTTAGATCTCAAAATACCATGAAACTCAGGCGGATGTTGCGAATTATACGAATTCCGCTCTAATTTCTTACCATCCACCTCGATTTTATCCAAGTTACCATTCATAGGTATACCTTTCGGTGTCTGGTAATCTTTCGGTGTATAAAACAGCGTATTATCAAAAGGTGTAAGACTACCGCGAGGTGTCGCATACGCATCATCCGGCGTCTTATTCAGATGATTATTATTCGCTGGCGGTGTATGCACAGGCGTAAGCAGCATCGAGATATCCTCACGAAACGTGCTGGGGATTGCGATTGTCGGCCCAGCTTTCCGTTTCGCCGTTGTAGTTGTACCAGGAGTAACTAAATCTCTAAAATGCGAATGCAGGGGCGCAGAGTGGGTAAAGGTGTACATAAAACGCATGCAAAACACAAATAAATTAAAAAAACAAGAAAAAGTGAAGGAGAAAAGTGTGAGTGTAGCGTTAGATGTCAAAACGACGCCATTTGTAAATATTTGACGGCAGAAACGTACCGAATATGACCGGAATCCCCCGATGATGATTGCCTGCTGTGTGAATGTATACTACTATAACCCGACGCCTTTGACATCTGACTGGTGTTGCTTGAGTTGCGCGAATGGCCGGGTTCCTGTCCTGGTAACAAACCGTCTTCATCCGTGGTTGTAGCTGTACTAATGTAAGTTGTGGTTATGTTTCCAGTGGATGATACATCGTCGCTTGCCAATGTGATAGGAACATTACTCTCAGTCAATGTTTGACCAATAATTATATCTAAAAATATAAATTTTTAATTTTTTAATTTTTGAGGTTAAATTTTTAGGTTACCGGTTAATGCAGGTCGTTTCTTCGTCAAGCTGCCAAACCCACTGCTCCCACTCCCAATGCTTCCAGCTAGGGACCCCGATGAGAATTCGTCTAGAAGTCTGGTGGTGGTGGGTTCAAAAGCGACGTTTTCGTCAGCGCGTGGTAATGGCACCGCATTTCCGGTTTTGCTCGCGTGTGTGGGTGAAGGGACTTTGAAGAGGATGTCGCCGGATAACATGTTCATTTTGATGGAGATGCGTAGCATGCTGTTGTCTTGACGGTGGCGCGCGTCGTAGCCTTCGAGGAGGGCTTTGCGGCTGGTGGAGCCGGCGCCGGCGAGCTCGGCGAGATTCAGGTCGACGAAGCCGAGCTTCGTGAAGGATTTGCCGCCCTTTGACTCCTTGCGCACCGAGATGCGCAGCACGCAGCGCTCGAGGACGCCCGTGGAGGCGTTGGCGAGCATTTTGCACGGGAAGGAGTAGCGGGCGTTCCACTTTACGGTGTGATCACGCACTTCTTCTCTGAAATATTAATAATAGAAAATTAAATAATGTTTTTTTTCTATGTGGAAATTTCAGGATAATGTGTGGATGTGGATGAGGATGAATCATGGGTCTAAAATAAAAATCAATGATGAGAGGATGATGTGAGTCATTGTACAGATGAATTTGCTCATAGGAATATTCTCGGTATTATTGTGAAATATTTGCCAAAAAAAAACGAAATTGATTGTTAATTGATGATGGAGTTTTATGATATTAATAAAAGCGGATATATTCACTCAAGTTTAAGTGTAGAGCCAAAAATATTATAAAATTTAATTTTAAAATTAATTTTTACGATTATATCAGTGTAATTAATTGATTACTACGTTTTTTGATTGAGAAAAACACTAAAAGAGGAAAGTTTATAGTATTTTTTAGGAACTAGTGCGTAAAAGTTCGTTTTATAAACCTTTGCTATTGAAAATCATTAAATAATCACTATTTTGCCGAGAAAATAACCTAAAAATTAAATTTGAAGGTTAATTTCTTACCAAAATGGTGATTATTTGATTGTTTTTATTGACAATGGTTGAAAATTGTACTTTTACGCACAAGTATCACAAAAATATTAATTTTAACTGATTTACTAAACAATTATTTAAAAAAATGGCGTTTAGTTAACATTTTTAGGTTATTTTTATGATAAAATGGTCATAATTCAATACCCAAGACTAAAAAACAATATTTTACGCATTAATATTTAAAAAAACACTAAATATTTTCATGATTCGGCGATTTTCTCCTTTAAAAACAAATAATATTCAATTAATTAAAGTGATATAATCGTCTATGACCCAATTCTGGCGTGACCTTTGCCGAAATGTTACATTTCACAAACGCGGAAGTTTTCCGGGTCTACAAGTATTTCCGGCTCTACCTGCTTTTCACTTTACTTCCCTCCACTTTTGTAATTTTCGCGTGTTCACAATAACTTACAAATAACGATTTTTCCTGCTACTTTGTTGACTTTTACGACTTTCATGACTACTGTGTGATACCAACTCAACTTCACTAGCTGCTGTTGTTATTATTATTATTTATTATTATTATTAGTGTGTGGAATTGTTGTTTGCGTGATGTGGTGCTGATGATCGTGCGAAGGACGGGGCACGCGGACGAAACAATCGACAATCGCAGCGGCGCGCGCGCCCGCCCGCGATAACAGCGCTCGTCCTGAATTATGCTAATGCCCTAAATTTGGAACAATATCGCTAACGACGCCGTCGCCACTGACACGCCACGTACGTTTTAAAGCTAGCGTAATCTCAATCCTCAATAAGCCAGAATTATATATAAAAAATACGTATATCCGTCTGCGTATCAAAGAAACCTTAGAAAAAGGAAAAATATAATAGAAGTTTTGGCGAAAATTGGATTTAAGCGTAATTTAATTATTTATTTTTATATTTCAAGGAATAATAAACTAATTTTTAGTCCTGGAGTGTTAAAACGTTGATCTTATTATTATTTGCTATTTTTTAAGAATAAAAACTAACATAACCAAACTTTAGGGAAAATTCGTGGCATATTTAATGGTTGTCAATAACAACAGCCAGAAAAATGTACTTTTACGCACTAGTATCCCTAAAATATTAATTTTTTGTTGAATTATGAGCGAAATTCTAAAAAAAAGCTGTCAAATAATATTTTGAGGTTAATTTCATGTTCAAATGGTCATAATTTAATGGTTGTCAATAGCAACATTGAAAAAATGTCATTTCACACACTAGTTTCTAAAAAATACCACATTTTTCCTTCTTAAGTAGCAAATTACTGCAAAATAAGGCAAACTTTTAAGTTTTATGTTATTTTCCCGTAAAAATGGTGATTATTTAATTGTTTACACAATAAATTAATTAATTAAATAATTTATTCTTACATTTCACTCCCTAATAAATTAATTTTATTCCCCTAGAACGTTAAAACCGTCAATTTTATGATTATTTCCATTAAGTAAGAATAAAAACTTTGCATTACATAACCGAAAGTCTAAGTGAAATTCGTCGTTAGTTTCGTCGACATTGTACTCAATAATAAATTGATTGTGATGTAATTGCCGAGTGTAACGTATTTTTTTTACTTGGTGCGCGTTGAATTTCAATTAAATTGTGATTTATAACCGTCCGCCATTGTTGTATTTAATTCGTTTGTTTTACGATTAATACACCTGTGTGATAACGCTGCTATCAGAATCTCAAGGTCGAGGATAAGTTGTGTTACGTATGAAATTAAATTTAAAATAAATATTTCGCAATATTTTTGGCACTGCACTTAAACTTAGGTCAATACATAATCAATTAATTATTAATTGAGTGAATATTTCCGGTTGTAGTAGTGTCGCTGTCGCAATCTGGTGTTATCAACTAATAACTATTGAGAAGTAGTGATTTGTAGAAGTACATTTTTCAACCGTTGTCAATAACAACAAGTAAATAATCACTATTTTGATAAGAAAATAAGTTAAAATTAATTTACTCCCAAAGTTTTCTAGTAAATCAACAAAAATATGGTATTTTTTAGATACTAGTGCGTAAAATTACATTTTTTGCACATTTTCAACATCAACCATTAATAATTCATTGACCAAACACTAAATAAAAATGTTTTCATTACCAAAACAGATAAAAACAAATAATTTTTGCCAAAAAATGTTAATTTCAACATTTATACGTGTTTTTTATAAATATTAATGTGTAAAGAAGTATTTTTTAACATTTGCTATTGACATTCATTAAAATATTATCTTTTTGGCATTAAATTAACTTAAAACCTAATTATCTCCCATATTTTCCGGTAATTTTCTACTAAATAAACAAAAATATCATATTTTTTAAACACTAGTGCGTAAAATAACACTTTCTGCACGTTTCCAAACATAAACCATTAATTTACATCATTTTACAACCTCAACAACCATTAAATACATAAAAACCTCCTAAAAGACGTGAAACTCGATCACTTCCAACATGATCTCTCTCCCGAAGAAAGATGAGAGAAAAGGAATTCACACTACTACCACTACAACACTAGCGTGAATGAAAGTCGACTTGACCTACAACTCGTGCATTCCATTCGAAATCATACTCAAGCCACCGCATAAAAACACACAGATACTAAATTACTAATTAAATGACGCACACATACGTGTGGTACACGCGTACGTGCAATGTCACTATCTAAATTTAAACTTGAATTACACGCGCGCGAATGTACTTGATATCACCTACAGCCGAACGTCGATTAAACTTAAACTTACGAGCAGCGTCGAGTTCAAATCGGCGTAATTTAAAGCGCATTGAAACAATAAAAGAGATATGAATGTGATAAAGAATGTTGCGGGCAAGTGCGCACGTTTATTTATTGATTAATAATGCATGGTGGTATGCACGTATGTATTACGAGTGTAGAATATCAAATTTACCGTTTATATTGTTATGATATGTCGAGTTTTATTTAATGCGCAGTTTGAAGGTGTTAAAATGTTATAAATGTATGGAAAATTGTGGTGGGTGATGAATTGTGTGTACAATGTGTGAAAATGGGAAGAATTTAGTTTTAAGTATTTAAAAGTTGTGTTTTTACTTGTTTAGGGTAAAAAATGCAAAAACACACAAATTTTGTTTGTAAAATATGTAAAACGATGAAAATTTGAGTAAATTTGGGCATAAAACTCAATTTTTTCACATTTAACGATGAAAAATGCAAAAACCATCAAAATTTTGTTTGTTTTTGTTGCATTTTTTGTATTTAACGATGAAAAAATGCAAAAACTACAAAAATTTCATTGGAAAAAAACGTAAAAATGTGAAAATTTCAATAATACGTGTCTAAAAGACGCATTTTTCGTATTTAAATGCAAAAATATTGTTTGTACAAGACGTAAAAAGGTAAAAATTTGAATTATCCGTGCCTAAAAGTCAATTTTTCGCATTTAGCGATCAAAAAATGCAAGAAAGACGATTTGCAGTGTGTAAAATTGTAAAAATTTCAATTTTCCGAGTCTAAAAGTCAATTTTCTGCATTTATTGCAGTATTGAAGTGTTTTCCATCTATAAATGTAACGTTGAATTTATTACGCGTGGTTAAATTTAGCTCTAACCCACGGTTGACGGACATACGCCGGGTTTTACATCATGTTCTCATGTTCTCAATATTTATTACCCCGGAAGATTGATTTATGCACGAACCACAAAAATGGTCTAAAAATATTCCGCATAATTAGGCAATTAATTCAACCGCACGTATTTTTACTTTTCTTTCACTTAACTATTATTTACGTATGCCAGAAGTTAATTCATTGCCACATCCCTACTAATAGTATAAATGCGAAAGTCCTGATGTTTGTTACACTTTCATGCAAAAACTACTTAACCGATCATCATGAAAATTTGTACACATATTCTTAGTGGTCCCCGAATGGTTATAGGCTACTTTTTATTTAATAAAAAAATTATTTTTGAAATAAAATAAAGAAATTGTTTAGCCAATAATACCTCTGCATCTGGCTATTTGACTACTTTAACGCCATCTAGCATTCCAGCAATGAAGCTCAAACCTAAGTACTATAGTACTATCACACTGTATTATCACACTGTATTACCGACAGCTACGTCAACATCAAATCCAATTGACTACACTATGGAGACTGTACACTATACTTCCATAGACTATACTTTCAGCCATTTTAAACTTCCCGCCATTCTACTTCATTGTTACTTCTTCTGTGACTACAGACGCGTACGGAAGCCACTTCATTATTTTAGATATTCGCGGGCGAAGCCAAGGGTTAAAGCTAGTTTTCTAATAATTTTCCACATAAGAAGCAAAAAATTGGAATTTTTTAGATACTAGGGCGAAAAATGGGATTTTTTAACCGTTATTGTGGACAAAAATTAAAGCATAACTGTTTTGACATGAAAATAACCTCAAAATATTATTTTACTGCCATATTTTTTAGAATTATCCTCTAAATTCAACAAAAAATCAATCTTTTTAAGATACTAGTGCGTAAAACGACATTTTTCGACCGTGAATATTACCAACAAATAAATAATAATAATTCTTACAAGAAAATAACATAAAAAGCCCTATTTTCCCCTAATTTTCGGCACAAAAACTAAAAATACAACATTTTTTAAACACTAGTGCAAAAAACTCAAATTTAAATCAATATTCCGCCATATTTGTTAGTAATATGTCGTCTAGATTGTTTACCAGCACTCTAAAGTAAGCAAAACATTCAAGTTCCTAAGTTTATAATTCAATTCAAGTCTTGTTGTGTCCCAGACATGCGACATTGCCGCCGGCAAGGTAACAAGGTCGTCAATCGACATTACCTTACCTTACAGGTTGCACAAGCTGCAACTGTACAATCTAAATCATCACGTCTATAAACTGAGAGAAAAAATCTAATCATGACGCCGCGGATGATTCTCGACGAAACCGTTGCACATTGTACTTGTACACACTTCGATCCAATGACTAACGACTAACGGTTCATACATTACTTTGCATTGCACATACTCTATAGATAAACATTGTAATGTTTTATTTATTTATTTATAGCGTGTGAGTAAGCAAGTCGCAGGTAAAACGTTCAAATACTTAAGTATCTCTCAAAATAATGCAAATTATTTTAGTTTATCAAAATTCGCGATAAGTGAATTTTAAAAATGTGTTTTTTGTGTGTTTTTGAAAGTAAATAGTGAATTTAATGATTTTATGAAAGTGTAGAGACGTGTGCAAACAATTTTCACTGCTGTGCACTTCTGTGAGCATTCCACGGCGATAGTCGAGTAAACAACACACGAAATATGCAAACAATTCGTCACTGAATGTGATTACGACTGGTTTACCCAATGGACAAGATGTAATCATACCGAAAACAATAAATAAAATATTTTCATTTCGTAAAGTGATGAAAAATATGCATTTTTGTGAAAAAATAGAGGAAAAACGTAAATTTGCGCATTTATACGCGTTTTTTTAAACAGTAGTGTGTAAAATAGTATTTTTAGCACTTGCTATTGATAAATGTTAATTTATTACCATTTTGTCATGAAAATAACCTCAAAATATTATTTGACTATCATACTAATAAGAATTTCCCTCCTAATTCAACAAAAAATAAATAATTTTGAAATACTTGTACGTAAAAGTACATTTTTTAAAGAATTGACAATGACAATCATTAAATAATCAATATTTTATCAAGAAAACACCTTAAAACTTAATTATTGGCCGTATTTTCCGGTAATTTTTCACTCAATTTGCAAAAATGGGATATTTTTAAGCTTCTAGTGCGTAAAATTACATTTTTCGCACGTTCCCAACCTCAACCATTAATAAATCACTCAGATTTTATCATTTTACGACTAAAAACTACTACTATTACATCAAAATCCCCAAAAAGACGCAAAATTTAATCAATTTCAACATAAAATACCCAAAAATATGTAAACTACTCGTCCCTGAATACGATTAAACCCAACCCCTACTATTCCCAAGAGACAAGAGGCGTAATCATTCACAAAACAATAAATAAAATATTTTCATTTCGTAAAGTGATGAAAAATATGCATTGTTGGTGAAAAATAAGAAGAAAAACGTGAATTTACGCAATTATTACCATTTTTTTCATGAAAATAACCTCAAAATGTTAATTGGTAGACATATTACCAAATAATTTTATATTTAAGAAAGGAAAATTTTGTATTTTTTAGATACTAGTGTGTAAAATGACATTTTTTGGCCGATAGTATTGACACCCATTAAATTATGACTATTTTGACATGAAAATAACCTAAAACTATTATTTGACAGCCATATTTCGCACAAAAAAGCTATAATTCAACAAAAAATTGATAATTTTGAAACACTAGTGCGTAAAACTACATTTTTCGCACGTTCCCAACCTCAACCATTAATAAAACAATCAATTTATATCATTTTACGACTAAAAATTGCTATTTTTACTCTAAAATCCCCAAAAATACGCAAAATTTAATCAATTTCAACATAAAATACCCAAAAATATGTAAACTTTTCGTCCCTGAATACGATTATACCCAACTCCTACTATTCCCAAGAGACAAGAAGCGTAATCATTCACAAAACAATAAATAAAATATTTTCATTACCTAAAGTGATGAAAAACAAACATTCCAACTAGAAAAAGCATTAATTTGTCAATTTATAAGCGCGAAACTTTATTATTCCATGCAATTTGCCCGAAATAACGAATAGCGCGACTCAACACTGAAACAATGTGGGTGTTATTCCCGCCTATTTTACTTTTCCCAATTCGCTTTCCCTTCGCGTTTGAAGTTTCCACGGCCCTCGCGCCCTTGCCCCACTTCCTTGACCTAGAAAACCCGACCCGCATCGTGTGCTAAGAGAATATGTGCGAATGACGTACTTGAACTCAACCCAAGAGAATATTTTTTCCCATTTTTTATTCTTTTGCCCAAGAAAAACGCAAAATAATAAATAATAATTATGCTTACCGTTGACTATGATCCTGAAAATTCCCCCCGTCGAGTAATCGTAGTTTCGCAAAGAGTACAGCCGATACAAACGGGACTTCCAGCAGTTCTTCGAGGCAGACCTCCACCTGAAACTTGTACTTCTTTTTCTTGGTCATAAACGACGCCATGCCGCCGGCGACGACGCCCCTGCCGCCGTTTGTCATCCACGCCAAGTTGAATCTGCACCATCAACACAGAAATCTGCCGAAAAAACAACACAATAAACAAATAATTTTATGCGAATTACGTGCGATATGAGTACCAAAGGCAAAAAAACTCATAACGCAGCTAAAAAAAACCACACAACAAGTTCAAAATCACTTCCAGTGCACATAATACCAAAAATCAACAAATAAAAACATAAATAAATATTTTACTTTCATTTCATCGCGTGTATGTTTCACTGCAAGCAATTAACGCTAATTAACAAGCCAATAATTAATGAAACCATGAGAAAACACACGCGAATAAAAACAAAAGCGTTTAGAAAGCGTGAATTTTGAGGTTATGCGTTTATGGTTATGTTATCATATGTCATATGTAAGTCTACAAAATGGTGGAGATTAATACTGCGCACTCACCGCTGTTGAAGGATGCGCTGGCGATTGTCAAATGTCAAAAACGGTTTCGGTTTCATTCATTCACCAGGCAAAAAACGGCATGAATGGCCCGGAAGCGTCTCGCACCGCACGTGAAATCAATGAACACACACGCGCGCACTCACACTCAACAATATCCCACACGCTAATTTCTCTATTTTGCTCGATCGATGCAAAAAACAACACAACACTCGAAAAACAAGCGCCGCTGTTTTCACGCCGTCCCAGCTGCGTGACGCTGCGGGCGGCACTCGCGCAAAGTCACCATCGAACGAGGGGCGCCGCACCACAAAAGCGTTTTCACCGAACGGACGTAGTGCACAACAACAACACCGCCGCCGACACTCCGTTGCGAACTGAGCGGTGGCGAGTTGCGCTACGGTCGTCGATCGCGCCTGACGTGACGACGACGACAAGCGAACCAAGCGATCGGTGGCGAAGCGCTGCGGCCATGTTGATGAAACACCACTGCGTAACCTATGCAACCCAACATACACCAAAACTAGACAGAGCCGTACCTAATTTACAAATATTTTAACTTATCCCTTAAAATATGTACTTTCAGTGTGTAAAACAAATAATTCCGCTGATTTATCTATGTTTAAGTGAGTACTTCTACATTTTTAACACTTTGTGTTTTTGGTAATTTCGTAATCAGTCTTGCGACACTTGAAAATGTCTAATCACAGCTTCACTTATACTTAACTTACATTAAACGCACGTTTTACCTGCCTGTATATATGTGTAAGTGAACGAGAATGTGTAACATTTCGGCGTATAGTGTTCTGCACGTTTATTAGGAAGACGGAAGGAAAGGAGGTCGAAAAAGTAAACGAAAAATTTATCCTTGACTGGAAGATGCATCACGATGCGCGGAATTCGCGTTGGGTTCAGCAAGCGTATCGAAAAACTCCTCGCCGCCAGAGTCCTGGCTCATATTACTCGCTGTCTGATCCAGCATAACCAAAGGAATGTCAAGTGCACGGCCAAAGATCGCCAGCGCGGCAGCAGCGCTGTCAGTCGCGACGGAAACGCCATCTGTTGGCAAAGATCTCAAATCATTTTCACTCAACGTGCGTTCGGCGACTGCTTCATCCGTTGACGATGCAATCGATGAAGATTCACGATCCACGTCGACAACTGATGGATGCACACCTTAAAAATTAGTTTAAAACATATTTTTTATTATAAAACCAAAACTTTACCTAAACCATCGCCTTGGCAGTAAAAATGCGGTTCATCTTCATCGCTGTCACGCCACTGCGCATCCTCACCGTCCGCGTCAGCTGTGTTGTTGGCCCCGCCCAGCAGCTGCAGCAGCCAATGCGGGAAGAGATTGTTGACCGGCGCCACTACAATCCAAAAAAAGGAAAGGAAAGGTTTAGGAACAGAGGAGGAAGAGAAGAAATCACAGCCGCAGTGTACGCGCATGCGCGCACCACGCTAGTTAGTTTTTGCGTGTGCAATACCAGAATCCGCTGCTGGCTCCACGTCAAACTCCGCCGGATCCACCGCTTCGTCTGTAATCGAGCCGTCTTCAAGGAAATCCGACTGTGAGTTCGGATCGAACAACGCTTCCCTGGACACATGATTCAACTCCTCTTCATCTTCTTCGTCCAAAGGTGGCGGTGGCAGCGCATGATGCACGTCGACAATCTCCAAAACCGGTATGACTTGCACTTCTGGTGGTGCATCCACAACAATCCCATCATCCGGATTGTGATTATTCACAACATTACGATTTTCTTCATCTTCGTTATCCATATAATCTATATGATCTACATTCTCATTGGGATCATCACCGTTAGCAAATTCAAGGTTAGGCAACACATCATCCACCTCGGGAATGTTATTACCTTCACCATCACGGTTATTGTTAGCCAAATCACCGTTTTCGACTATAAACTGTGGGATTTCGAGATCCTGTGGGCGTACAAGTGGGACCACTGGTTGTTCCACATGCGGAACATCAACTTCTATCTTATTTAGTGAATTGTAGAGTAAAACATCAGCGATTGATTTAGCGTCTTCTTCACTATCGGATCGAAATGATTTTCGGCGTCGTGATGTGCCTGGTGTAGGCGATTTAGTTCGCGCGGCTCCGCCGAGTGATGGTGGCGCTGTTGTTGGTGTGTATTTGACAGCACTGCGGCTGCAACCACCTGAAAAGCGCCTCCATTCAGACAACAGCCGATTGTTCATTGGCATACCGTTATGGGTTTTTGCCAAACGTGCTAACAAAATTAACAAAATAATAAGCATGCAATAAATTTAAACAAAAACATGAAAAAAATTAAAAAATACCTTTGATTGAATCTTTAATATCATTCACATCCATCTTCGGCATGAATTGCTCATCGAAATGGCCATCTATCGGACTCTGCGGGGACCACTCAGCATTACTCAGCGATTTTTGATACCCCGAATCAACTAGTGGATCAGATGGCGTTGCTGCTTCATCCTTGGAGGCGTTGCCAGCACGCATCGCACGCTCATCAAACTCCCAATCGGAATCAGCGCTGGAGTTTATATTACGCGCGAGATTCGATTTATCCACGCATCGTGCATCGTCGTTAACCTCAACTTCTTCGGCATGTTCCGACGGTTCATAGTCGCTGGCGGTGCGTGACGATTGCCCAGCCATTTCAATGTCGTACAGCACGCAGAGGCAACGCTCATCAGAACCGTAGAGTGTGCATTCGCCAATCTTGAAGTCCGCACCCTCGAGAATAACCCTGCGCATGCGCAATAGACATGTTTAACATTAAATTTTGACACTGACAGAACTAACACGCAAATAATTATACATCACTAACCAAACTGTCAAATGTCATTTATGTCAAAAACTAAAAAAACTAACCTTATTTCTGATTCGCTCACAAAATGCCCGTCAAAATTCTTCACGACTTCATACAATGGGATTTCTACTATACCGGTATCCTCATTAAAATACCGACTTGTATGCGATGCATGCATATAAATCTGTTGCATAGCCTCGTAGAGAACTTTTTCCTCCGGTGAGCGTACATCCTCCACAAATGGATATTTAATCACTCCAATCTGATGATAATACTCATCCTGACGCTGTTCACCTGTAGTTATATTCCCTTCTTTGATTAGCCTCGGATTCAAATCGAATAAATCATCCGCAAGCAGCGCCATCTGTGCTTGCGAGAAACTAAAATGTGTGCAGACACCAAACGAGCGCCAATCATGATTCACATCGACATTAGACGCATGTCCAGCGACACCAGCGACCTCTGAATGGATTTGTTCGTATTCCTTGACGAAAACCGCCATTTGTGAGCAACATCCAAGCGATTCTGTGCCTTTGGGACCTTTTCCAATACCAGTAAACGTCACAGAATAGTTAGGATAACGCAAAACAATGTTTTGAGCCCTTTTTAACAAAAAAATATATAAATTACTTAACAATTAAACATGGCGGATCATTTTTGAGGTTATATCCTTACCAATCTTCAAATTGTTGACGCGTCCACTCGAATTTATGATCATCATGTCGAAAACCTTTGAAATTCGGGAAGAGAACATTGAAATCCGCGTTTGGTGTTGTAAAAATCGCTAATTTCGGCTGAACAAAACCGAAAATATTGTAGGGCAATGCATCCAAGATGTCCGGAAACAAGTGTTCAATACTAAAACCATAAAATCAAGTTTTTAACCTCAAAACAATGATTACAAAGCAGTTTTTCTTACATTTCAATGCCAACAACAGCATCAATTCCCCTAATCCTCCAATCTGGATCACTTATACTGCCTCGAAAGATCTCCACAGTGAGTGGATCAGTCCTCTGCTTCAAATAATCCGCTGTCAACGGCTGCACCCTGAACATATTCTCTTTTAACAGTGTATCATCAATATCCACTTCCAAGATATCGGTGACTCCCATCAAATGTTTCAGGTATTGAAAGAAGCCGAATTCTGCACAGCCGAAATCCACCACCTTTCGTATATCTTTCCGCCAGCGTGGATCCAGTAAAACATCCTGCACAGCAGAATATCGCTGTCGATAGACCGGAATTGGAAAAACAAAACATTCTTCTGGGTCCAGTGGAAGTGCGGCTGGTTTTTCAGCAGCCAAAGATTCCAGCGCACGTTGTTCAGCCGATAAGCGAATGATTGCATTCGCTTGATACCGGCGATACCATCGCAGTGCGTATCTTATCACAAAGTACAGCGAATGAACGATGATAATCATTCTTGTTTATCTCTAGCTAAATATATGATGTGATTACTGCACAGGGTTATAAAAACGTTGGAAATTTTCGACAGGCGCGCACATTCTAAGAGATTCTGATTAGGCGTTAATGTGTTTGTGTTTTGATAGCGATTTCAATCGTTGCGAACACTTTGGTTGATGAATAAATGCAATAAATGTGAGAGTAACACAACTAGATTTGCATTGTTTGAAGGTTATGATATGATCGATGTCAAATGTCAAAAGATGACTGACAGACTGCGCATGATTGATTTTTTGGTTCAAATTTCAATGAAAACATTAAAAATACAAATGATTTGCTACAAAAATTAATTATTCATGCATTATTTAGTTGGTTTTGTTATTAGATGTGTTTGCAGATTGTACATGTGCATGGGAGCCGCATGGCGTTGAATCCCCGAATGGGAATCAACATGTACCAACTCTCCGAGCAGATTTTCAGCCCGAGTAGAAATAAAAGCAAAGATTTCAACAGTTTCCACGCATACGGATTGCCCACTAGGTCCATGAGTTTGTTCCATTTAGGTGTGCCTGAGTCCACGGACCGGTGCTGTGTGATTTTCGCTGGTTTCTTCGGATATTTACCAGGACAACTCAATTGTTCTTCACATGTAGTCCTCGCACGTCCTGTGCAAGTGTTCACACCATCAGTAGGTGGTAAACCCTCACAAGACCTTTCCGCTAAGCAGATTTTATTAGGTTTACCATGACAACTCTGATCATCTTTGGGACCTTGGGGACCAGAAGAATCTTCAACAGTTTTTTTCGATATAGGTGTCACTTCAGGAGGGTATACCGGCTCCCCAACTTTTGATATTGGATAAATTGTCCCGCTGCCTTTGGGTGTGTGAAAAGATGGCGTCCGGTTACCATCACCAGAACTAATACTGGGTTTCTTCTCTCTTGGAGGATTAGGAGATATCACGCTGGGATGTAGTGACATACCAGGTGATGGTCTTCTATTAGGAGATATTTTAGAAGATGAAGACCTATCGGAACTAAAACTGCGTCCATCTTGGATATTCTCACGTTCATGCGATTCTCTATCCATGGAACGTGATCGGGATCTTGATGGGGTAGGAGAAGATTGATTTTGACTTAGATTCGAGGACGTAGAAGGTGCAGAAGTGGATAATTTTAGAGGTACATCTTTATAAACTGTCCTACCACCTGGTTTACCTTTACAAGTGATAATATTCCTTTGATTTGAACAGATATACTTTCGTAGGAGTTCTGCGTCTTTACCAGGGCGACTTGCGTTGTTCCTACATTCGATTGGACACTTTTGGGGACGTACCCCATCTGTAGGTGAGGCCCGAGTTAAAGCATTCAACCCAGGTGGGGGTTTTTCAGTGTTTAGATGGTCGAAAATACGCCGGGTTTTACAATTGCATTTTTTGGGATCAGGGAACACAATAAGGTACCCGGAATTTTTAGATTTTGAAGGATCTGCATGTTTTGCTTTGGAAGCACTTGACCTATCTCCAGAATAATAAACAGAACCATCACTGGGACCACTCTGGGTACTAGGACCATAAGATTCACCTCTTGACCTACCTCCAGAAGTATTATTTGATCTCCTTTTTGAAGAATCCTGTGAAGGTCCACTTGGAAGAGAACTTTCATAAGAAGGATCTGGAAATTGTCTCCCATCAGATTGATAAGAAGTTCCTCTGGAGTCCCTGGAGGTACCATCTGATCTCCCTGTTCCTCTTGATGTTGTAATATTCTCCCCAGAAGGTCCACTTGGATGTGAAGACCTCCCTGAGGTACCTCTCGATGTACAAAACGAAACCCCATTGGAGGTGTCCCTGGAATACCCTCTGGAAGGCCCCCCACTCACCCATCCATTACTCCCCGCCGAAACTTGATAGGGAACTGAATTAAGTCCTTCCACACCATGTCTGCTTGAATTCACCCCGATACACCTGCATATCCTTCGTCTATCTCCTGGTACCACCCTAGTTTCATTACCATTGACATTTTTCACCTGCGGACACTGCGGTTTCTTTTTATAATCATCCCTGGGGATAATACTCCTCTGCCAGGATGAAAACTCCTCCAGGACCTCGGCCAATTCATCCGATTTGGTGCAGGTGTACCTCGCCTTCTTCCCCTGGCTCTTCTTATCGGGCGGTTTATCCATTTGTATAAAACTGTAAATTTTGTCACACAGATTAGTCACAATCACGTTGCCAAGCTACCAACACACAACAAACATTGTTTACAGAAGATACGAGCATAAACAAAACAAACATCGAAACGACTTAAGTGTATACACATAATATAATCTTAATCGATTCCCTAGAATCGAATCGCATAGAAATATAGATTGAGATGAGAGATAATGCAGAGCACGCACAGCTTATCATAAGCAGCGGCTTTGCAACGAGCAACGAGCAACGCGACTTGAAACATGAAACGAGATCACTTTGTGCAGTGCTCGATGTGAAGCATGACGTGCGACAATCGCGAAATTAAACAAAGCGTGACTCAGATGACTCAGTAATCGACAATTTTTCTGTAAATCACAATACCAAGTGCAATTCCTTGCTGCAATACAACATAAACATACAAATTTAAAGGTTAAGTAACATTAAAACATAAAACTACACAAAATGGAGTTGATGGAAGCGAAAATCGTCGCGATAATCACGCTGACAATGGGCAGTCTACTCGTGGGTTTACTCCCAGCATGGTTCTCCACCTACGGACGCAATCGCCATCCGTTATTCCTCTCTGGTTTGCTCTGCTTTGGAGGCGGAGTCTTGCTCAGCACGAGTATTGTACACATGTTACCAGAAATCCGTGAAAATCTCCCGAAGTACAAAGAATACGCTGAGATTCTCTTCGCTTGTGGCTTCTTCACGTTGTACATCATCGATGAACTCGTGCATTTGATCTTCCCGGACGCTGGGCATGGTCATGACCATTCCCATGGACACGGACGGTCAATAAGTGAACCTTCGACATCTGTGGCTCCAAGTCGTACTACTTCTCAGCACAGGTTGTATGATTCGACTGTGACGGAAGCGCGGCCATTGTTGTATCCGCAACTGCCATACAATCCGAGTTTTGTGCGGTATTCGGATGATCCGGCATCGCAGATTTGTCATATCGGACATGTAGAACCCTGTAATAGCCGCCCGGTTGGTTCGTTGGGGTTGTTGTTTGCTTTGTCTGTACATGCAGTATTGGAAGGCTTGGCTGTGGGGTTAGAAACATCCGCTACACAGGTATAATAATAATCTTAACCTAAAATATTATAACATAACCTTAATAATGCGAATTTTTGATTTTTACAGGTTTTGTTGTTGTTCGGCGCGATAGCTTCACACAAACTCGTGGTTGGTTTCTGCCTGGGTGTGGAATTAGCAGCGGAGAACACCGTACTCAAACACTTCGTCTCGATTTTGATCTTTTCGATGGGTTCCCCGCTGGGGATCGGACTTGGAATGATTTTTAGCAACATTCCCAAAGATATTGAAACATACTTGTTGCCTATCTTACAGGTTTGTTGTATTAAACATACATAACCGTAATTTTTATGATTTGACATATTTTTGACATTTGACAGGGACTGGCAGGTGGTACACTTTTCTATGTGAGTGTATCTGAAGTATTACCGCGTGAGAGAGCGCGTTGGCACAATCCAAACGCCAAGCGATACGCTGGATTCTTTCAATTCGTCTGCGTCGCAGTTGGTTTTATCATAATGACAGCATTAACTAAATATATGGGTAAGTAGAGTATAACTTGTTTATGTGTAATGTTGGTTGCCTAACACACATTTCAACTTGTTTGTTTGTTTGTTGCAGACCATTAGACATAACCTTAGAATTGTACAAGTGATATTAAACTTAAGAAATAAACGAAAATGACTACAACGTAACTTCGCCGCCGTCTTCCACCAGCATATCCTCTTCATCACTTTCAGGTACTTCCTCCATGGATGATTCAGCTGTTTTCTTTGCTTTGAGTCCAGCAGCTGGTGATCTGATGAGTGACAAATCACGTTGGACTTCTTTAATGTCACGCTCGTCCTCCAATTCTCTTCCTTTACGCAATCGCTGCATAATATGCGCATTACTGCGTTTTTGTTTAATAGCTTCAACTTTTTTCATCGCGTCTACAGCGCGTGTCCATGTCTGTCTGTCGTATTTCAGTGGAACATTGCGTCGCTTTTCGAATTCAAATGAAGGATCAACTTGCAGTTCTTTACCGGCGGTTTTTCGGAATGCTTTAGTCCATTTCACCTTGCGTGGGTTCTTCTTCTTTTTGAATGCGGCGTGACATTTCGAGCGACAGAATTTGAAGATCTGTTATAAACACATGTATTTTAGGTTATGTTGATAAACATGTGATTTTAAAGTGTAGGAAATAAGAATTTAGCTTACTTTGCAGTCATTTCGGACGAACTGGATGCCGTGTCCGGGGTATATCCGCGACGAGCAGAAATAACACGTCTCGATACGCATTGTTTAACGATTTGTTCACAACAACGTGTTGTTGCGACAATTGTGTTAATATCGAGACGCAAAAGAACTTTTTGACATCTGACAGTTGTCAAAGTTCATATGTTACACAAAAATTGCGTAAAATCACTAAATTACACATTATTACAGTGTAAAACATTAAAAAATAATTAATATTAATAATATTTAAAGTATTTATATAGTTTTTAATGTTGTATTCATAAAAATTACCGAAAAAACTTTTTAAAATTGTCTTTATGGTCAATTGCCATCTGGTGGCGGAAATTCACAACTACAATGTTTTGACATCTGTGGTTCGGATCTCTACCAAATTCCTGGTGCGAGCGCAGTCAACTCGAGTTTCCACCCGCCACCCCACGTATACTCGCCAGTTTAAAGTGCACACCACTCCCAGGAGATCATGGCCGAAGCGGCCGTCGTCGCCGACGAGCACGCCCTGCAGCGCTTCTACTGCCACATGTGCAACATCAAGTTCGAGAGCTGCACCACAGTAAAACAACCTAACCTCCTACAAAACCACTCACAAAACTCTTATTTTCCTCTGTATTGTAGACGTTCAGCTGTCCACGATGCGCCGACGGCTTCATCGAGCAGCTGGAGGCACGCAGCGAGCACACCGTCGCCGCGCCATTCGATTCCGACGAGTCGGACGAGGAGATGTTCGATGTATACATCGGGTACGTACCGGCGGGGCAATCGTGTGCAATTCTGTGCTGATGCGTTTCAGATGCTGAATCTGAGCCATTTGAACTTCCTTCTGCCGGACGTGCGGCCGACTGGTAGGATCCGTCACGGCGCGGATGCTACCAGAAGAGCAGCGGGAGGAGGAAGGTGCGCAAATTGCAACACAATCCACACTAAAAACTCGAATATCTCGCAAACTAACGCCGATAAATCAAAAATTTTTCCACTGAATTATCAAGAATTTAATTTTTTATCACTATGAGTAATAATATTTGTAATTTTAGCGAGGCTGGTCAAACTGGAGCGAATCCACGCTCACCACTGACCTACGAGAACCTTCTTCAGGAATTCATCGTGAATCTAGGCGTGAATATGTTGGGAGGCAATGGGAATATGCAATTATTCCTCAATCCCGGCGATTATGCGTGGGGCCGCGAAGGATTGGACGCGATTGTTACACAATTATTGAATCAAATTGACACGACAGGTATTTATGGCGATTTTTGCGTGTTTTTGTTGAAAAAATAAAAAAAAAAAACTTACGTTTTAGGGCCGCCACCCCTGGCTAAAGACGTTATCGATGCCATACCCGTAGTGGAAGTCAACCAGGAGCAGGTAGACACAAAGCTGAAATGCTCCGTGTGCTGGGAAGAGTTTCAACTCGCCGAAAAAGTCCGCCAGTTGGCGTGTCAGCATGTTTATCACGAACCTTGTATTCGCCCGTGGCTGGAACTGCATAGTACGTGTCCCATTTGTCGGCAGGATTTAGGTTCGGAAGATCAGAGCACTAATACTGCCCCGGATAATTCTGGAGGTAAGAAAATTTATTTTTGGTTATATAAAAATAACATAATATAATATAGGCAACCAGTCATACACATAATGACTTTGCAGTTTTATATTATAGCTGGTTATGTGTAGAAGTAATATAGGCAACCATTTATACACATGATGATGTGGCTGTTTTTATAGGTACAACTTATAATGCCCTGCAACAATTGTTCCAAGCCGTGCACGGAAGCGGTGGGGGTATGAGTAGTAGCAGCGCAACCACAACGGATAGCACCTCGACGAGCAACAACGATACGACGAGCAGCAGCTCGCGCGGCAGTGATACTAGTAACTAGTTAAGAATAAACGCGTCATGAAATGAGGCGAAATGCGCTAATACACCCAATACACACATACATACATTACACACAAATCACACACTTGATTGATGCTAGCGCGACGGGTTGTTTGTTACGTTTTTGGTTTTTGAACGATGTCGAGGCTGCGGTGGCTGAAGGGGGTGGAAATATTTGCGAACATCACATGCAATCACAGACACGTGTGCTGAATTGTTTTGTTAGGCCGACATTTGTGGAGACATTTCAACACTGCGAGGCGATAGAGTGGCGTTTGTGGATTCTGCATAGAATTTTTTAATGTATAAATATATATTTTGCCTTCACACGCGGAGAACCAGCAAATGAGAGTAGAGTTTCTTCATTTTTTTCTTTCTGTTTGTAGATTTACTCATGTGAACAAAGTTGCGGACGCAGTTCGTGATATAAGTTTATATAATTCACTGTACATTTACAAAGTGTGTGCATATTTGTATTGTAATTAAGGGAGTATATACTATAATAACAAATACAAACATTTACTGCAAATATTTTTGTTATTTATTGATAATATTACGCGATAAACTAATTTGCAGTGATTTTATGGAACTACTTTTAAGGAATTACTTTCGGTACTTTCATACGGTGCCCTGAACCGAGTCACCTCTACCGCTAGCTTTGTACGGTGCTCTGAATACGAGTCACTTCTACCGCTACGATGGTACGGTGCCCTGAATCGAGTCACTTCTACCGCTAACTTCATACGGTGCTCTGAACACGAGTCACTTTTACCGCTAGCTTTGTACGGTGCTCTGAACACGAGTCATTTCTACCGCTAGCCTCCTACGGTGCTCTGAATACGAGTCACTTCTTCCGCAACCCTCGTACGGTGCCCTGAACCGAGTCACTTCTACCGCTAGCGTCATAAGGTACCCTGAATCGAGTCACTTCTATCGCTACCCTCGTACGGTACCCTGAATACTAGTCACTTCTACCGCTAACTTCATACGGTGCCCAGAACACGAGTTACTTCTACTACTAACAAATACAACCTGACGGAGAATTAAATTCCGCATCTCTAGACGTCGCGTTGAAGTTACTACGCCGTCTAGATCGCGTGCAAACCCGAAATAACCCAAACATTTTACGAAAAAGGATAGAAAAATTACACTTATATGCAAATTTTCGCGGGTTGCAGGTAGAATTCCTGCAAGATTTAAATACCACCCGACGGAGAATTTAATTCCGCATCTCTAGACGTCCCGCTGAAATTACTACGCCGCAAACTATTGATGAAACCCACTAAAATCCCGAAAATTAAGCTCAAAAGTTGTATTTTGAGCTTATTTTGCAGTTTTAAAACTTTAAAATGCTAAAATTGATATAAAAACCAACAGAAACCTGCTTAAATCCATTAAAACCCTTAAAATATATCCTAAAATATTATATTTCGAGGTTATTTCTTCGATAAAACAGAATTTTAACCTTAAAATGTTACAAATTTAAGTTATAATTACTTTTTTCACCATAAATCTACCTAAACGACTTGAAAAGCAATTCTAAAAGTTAAAATAACTATAAAAACACTAAATAATTCTTATTTTTTGATTTTATTCATTAAAACAACTCTAATCTAATGCAAATTTATGTTTTGCGCTTGATGCATTCTACAGCTGATCAAAAACACGACCTACAGCATAAAATACCAACAAAAACATTGCTATTTGCTTATCACTGCATAAGATGAACTCTACACCACTCCCTGATAATCCAAAATCATTAATATGATTAATATTCTCAAGTCAGCCGCGTTTATTTGTCATCTTGTCAGTTTTTCAATAAAAATTTCAAACGCTTCCGATTTAATTATCCCTCTAAAAATTTCCGTATGAAAATTCCTGAGTAAACTGAGTGAATATAAATTACCACAAATTAATTTACAATTATTCTGATTACAAATTATTAGTAAAAACACCCAACGCGTGTTTAAATTAATAAACATTCAAAATTATCACAAAAATTTCATTCAAATCCCAAGTTTAACCTCACATTCCATAAGTAATACCATCACATACTTTCTTGAGTGTTTTTCCAATCAGTTTTCAAAGAAAAATGTTAATCTTCGCCAAAATAAGCAATAAATTATCATCACACACAGGTAGCAAGCACATAATATGATTGACATTGTATATATTGATGAAATTTGTTGATTTTAGGTCAGATCCGAAGAGTGCATCAAAGTCTAGGCCAGATTAACACAAATGAAGGCCAACAACGCAATTTTGGACAACCTACACCACTTACACATCCTCATTTAGTGAGTAAAGGACATGTCCTGCCGAATATCAGCGCTGATGAGTTGGCAAACCGACGAGAAAAGCTATCACAACTTGTTATTGATGCGATGAAGAAGAAACATTCAGATATCAAGTCACACATGGTAAAAATCAATGTGTTTCATCACAAATCATCAACTAAACACATAAAATTAATGTTTTTTTAGATTGTTATACCCTCTGCTAGTAAATCCTACATGTCCGAGAAGATTCCTTACATCTTCAGACAAAACACAGACTTTCTCTACTTAAGTGGCTGCCAGGAACCTGATACCTGCCTTGTAATCAATGTAAACCCTGAGAAAAGCCGCCATCATTCAACGTTATTCATGCGTGAACGTGACCAACACTCTGAGGTGTGGGATGGTCCCAGAACAGACCCATCTGAAGCTGTGCATGTTTTCGGCGTGGATGAAGCACGCCCAGTCTGGGATTTCTCGAATTATTTACAAAAACAAGCAAAAGAAAGACCCACATCTCTCTGGTATGACTTAACCCTCACACCTAATGAAACTGTGAGTAGTGCGATAAGAGATTACACGAAAAACACCAAAGGAAAAGTCTGGGATTCTCCCAAGAGTCTAATTCATAAGATACGCTTGATAAAATCCAAAGCAGAGATTGATTTAATGCAAACATCGTGTGATATTGCCTCAGCCGCCATTACGAAATGCATGAATAGTTCACAACCAGGTATCAATGAGCACCATCTGTTGGCCACTGTGGATTATGAGAGTAGGATACGTGGCGCTGAGTTTCTAGCCTATCCGCCTGTGATTGCCGGTGGGAATCGTGCCACAATCATTCATTATGTCAATAATAATCAACTAATCAAAGATGGCGAGTTGGTTCTTATGGATGCAGGTAAAAATCACTTTTTATATTAATTTTTTTGAGGTTATAAATAAAAATGTGTTTACTAAATTTTAGGTTGTGAATATCATGGTTATAGTTCAGATATTACCCGCACATGGCCTGTCAACGGAAAGTTCTCGAAGGAACAACGCGCGTTGTATGAGGTTGTGCTGAGTGTGCAGGTCGCCATCATTAAAATGTTGGCCAATCGCGTGAGTTTAGACAAAATGTTCGAGGAGATGTGTTTGTTGTTAGGGAAAGGCCTGCAGGAGATTGGTCTCACACCTAGAACTACTAGTCTACAAAATACTATAAAGGTAGAGGTTATTTACTAAAATTTTAAAGAAAAAAAGAGTAAAAGTTTGGTTATGTTAGGATGCGTATGAGTTCTGCCCACATCACGTGTCACATTACCTTGGGATGGATGTGCATGACACTGCATTGGTCAATAGGAACATTGGAGTGCAACCAGGGATGATTATTACTGTAGAACCAGGTAATTACATTGATTATAACCTTAAATTTAGTGAAAATCGGCTGAAATCGTTGAAATATTGCGTGAAAAGTTGTATTTTGAGGTTATTACGATGTGTTTGGCTTTAAAATGTTAAAACTTGGGAAAAAACAACAAAAACTACTTAAAACACTCTAATAACCTTAAAATATTGCCTGGAAAGTAATATTTTGAGGTTATTTCGCAGTGTGTACCTTTAAAATGTTAAATTTAAGGTTAAAACAACGAAAAACAACTTAAAACTCACTACAATCATCAAAATACAGCCTAAAATGTTATATTTTGAGGTTATTTTGCTGTTTCTAACTTTAAAATGTTAAATTTGGGTTAAAAAAACATCAAAAATTACTTAAAACCCACTAATAACCTTAAAATATTGTCCAAAATGTAATATTTTAAGGTTATTTCGCATTGTGTACCCTTAAAATCTTAAATTTGAGGTTAAAACAATGAAAAACTACTTCAAACTCACTACAATCCTCAAAATACAAGCTAAAATGTTATATTTTGAGGTTATCTTGCTGTCTCTCACCTTAAAATGTGAAAATTGAAGCAAAAACAAGAAAAAACCACTCAAAACCCACCAAAACCTTTAAAATAAAACCAAAAAAACCATATTTTGAAGTTATTTCGCAGTTTTTAACCTTAAAATGTTAAAACCAAGGCTAAAACACCAAAAAACAACTTAAAAGGCCCAAAACCCTTAAAATACAATCTAAAATGTTATATTTCGAAGTTAAAACATGACAAAACCTTAACCTAACCTTAAAATACCAAAAACTAAGCCTAAAATTACTTTTTGCTCTAGGTATTTACGTAAACCATCTGATGAAAGTCCCTAAAGAGTACCAAGGAATAGGAATACGGATAGAAGACGATGTGCTAATCACAGATGGCGAACCAATCGTCCTCAGCTCAAAATGTCCGAAATCAATCGCCGAAATCGAAGCAATCGTAACAAACGCACGCAAATAAACCACAAAACTGCCAACTCTTACTAGCCGCTTGTACTGTACATAATTATAATCGTTACTATTTAATAATAAACAACATCTTTCGAAACAAGAAGCGAAGAAACACATAAAATGGTAAATAAAAGGTAAAACAGGTAACTTTACCAGTCCATCTGCGTCGGCACACCATTGGGATACTCTCCTGTAAGACAAGCAGTGCAATGTCCTACCTTAGCTGGCGATTTAGTCTTGATATCATTCCGGACAGCTTTAACCAAACCTTCCACACTGAGATACTGCAAGGAATCAGCACCTAACCAACAAAATATGAAGTTATACATGGAAATAAACATTAGAGGTTATGTTTTAGAATAATACTCACCAACATGCGTTGCTAACTCAGCCGCACTCAACCTATTCGCGATTAACTCTTCTCTTGTAGGAATATTAATCCCCATATAGCAGGGATACAGTAATGGCGGACTGGCAATACGAATATGCACTTCCTTCGCGCCTGCGTTGCGCAGAAGACGAATTATCGGCCCGATTGTATTACCGCGCACGATGGAGTCGTCGATGAGTATGATGCGTTTACCCTTGACGCTGCCGGACAACGCGCCGAACTTTTTATTCACCGCCAGTTGCCGCAGACGATTACTCGGCTGAATAAACGATCTACCCACGTAACGATTCTTACACAGAACTTCAGAGAATGAGATTCCGCTCTGGCGTGAGAAGCCATGCGCGGCGGCTGTGCCGCTTTCCGGCACGGATGAGATTATGTCCGCTTCGACTGGATGCTCGATGGCTAACTGACGGCCGCACTGCAGGCGCACGTTGTAAACCATTTGACCTTCAAAGATACTATCCGCGCGTGCGAAGTAAACATACTCGAAAATACAGAATGATTGTGATTTGTCTTCGGGTAGACCGATGATGTCAATGGTGCGTATGCCTTCTTTTGACATTTCGATGATTTCACCCGGGTAGACTTCCCGTACGTGCTGGGCGCCGATTGAAAGGAATCCGCAGGATTCCGAGGAGACTACCCAGCCGTCAGCGGTGCGTGATTCGTCACATTCGCCATCTAGCGCTGGAAAATGAAACTAAAACGTTAAAAAACATCATGGCGGTGAGTATTTTATAATTTTATAACTTACGTTCGTTTATTGGTAGGATTTTACCAAGACACAGTGGTCTGTTACCATACGGATCTCTCACAGCGTAAATTCTATCCTTGAGCATGATTACAACCGCGTAACTTAGTGGTGCAAGTTCCATCATATGGCGAATTCTTGCAGGGAAGTCCGGGCCGTCATCCTCGCCCTCTGGCGGTGTAAGACACAAAGCTTGTGTGATTAACTCACTGTCTGAGTGGGTTGATAGGCCTACACCTCGGGATAAAACCATTTTGCGTAAATCGTCGCAGTTTACCAGCTCGCCATTATGTGCGACGGCCATTGCGCCATGCGCAGTGTGAACTACAAATGGCTGACAGTTGATTGTTTCACTGGCGGCGCTTGTTGAGTAACGAGTATGCCCGATACCGAGATTACCAGTCAGTTTACGGATGGCGTCGTCGTTGAAAATGTTACTGACCATTCCCATGCCTTTGTAAACGTTGAAGTGTTTCGCGCAGTGGCCTTCTGATGTTACTATTCCAGCGGATTCTTGTCCTCTGCAAGCAGGATATTGAAACATGTATTTTGGGTTGCATAAGGTAAAATTTTGATTGATCAGAAGTAAAAAATCATTTTTTGTTAATAACTTTTGAACGAATTAACTTACAATGATGATTCTTTTACTAATCGATTCAAAATTAATTTTTGTATTAATTGGTGAAGAAAATTTGTTTAAAACTTATTTTAAACAATAGTTATCATCAAAAAACTAACAAAAATATAACCTTACAGTTTTAAAGTGTGTTTTAGGTTGCATAACACAACATTTTGATTGACAAGATGAATAAACACAATATATTCAATTAAAAATTGAAACATTTGCAAGAATATTTTACCTGTGTTGTAGCGCAACGAGTCCCCAGCATATAATCTGTGAGATTTCCAAATTCGTCGGCCAGTCACCAGTGCCAATAGCTCCAAAAACGCCACATTCATGTGTTAAACCAGATGTGGTAACACCACGATTCAATCTTTTACCTTTCAGCACGTATTTCTCATCTTTGTGCGCTTTGCTGCTGCTTGGTTCGTCCATTTTGTTTTTTTCCGCTGAAATCAATGGAAATTTTTCAGATTTTCAATTAGAACCGCGTTCTACGAAGATAAAACTAGAAGTGACTGGAAGTAGTGTACAACTGTTGTTATGCTGTGCGGGGAATTGCGCAAGATTGATTTTTCGACACGATTTGAAAACGAGAGCGGGATGATGCAAAATAACACTGAACAGCGTGAAGGGATCAAATGTTATCAGCACCAGTAGTACCACATGTGATTACGAGTTTATTAACTGCGTTTATTTATCTTCTCAATGGAAAAATTATAATATTAATAGTAAAAAATAATTTTATGACGTTTTTACGCATTTTTACGCGTTTTTGACTTTTTTTTCAAATTTTTAAACAAAAATCTTTAAAAAACTTAAAAATTTATGTGTTATAATACTCACTGCGTAGCTTTTGAGATTCTAATTTGCTCTGTCGGCAGTTGGGTGTCGATTGTTGATAAATTGAAGGAATTATTTCCTTTTATGTTTTTTGTGACGCGGTTTAGTGATGTGCGCATGCGCGCGCAATATTTGAATAACCGCGAGCGCGATTATCCAACAGGTGGGAGTGATTCCTGCTGGTGGGCATATAAACGACGTCGTAGCCGCGCGCCCGCTTACTTTTTCAGTGCATTTCATTCCTGCACGCGCGGTTTGCTCGTTTCAGTTCATTAGCCTACAAACAACACGCATTATCATGGCTACTGAAGGTAAATAGATAATTATTTGATAATTATGCGATGCTGCATGATAAATTTAAGTAAATTTCATTCATTTGAGGCTTGGTTTGGTTGGATTTGTTGGTTTTTAATGTTGGAAGAGGTTAGAAGCATGAGAAATCAGTAAAAAGACGCGTAAAACTTGTTTGTGTGAAGGGGAATTGAAATGGCGGTTAGAAGCAGTGAAAAATTATGGTTTTGATTAGTTTTTTGTTTGTAACTTTGTGATTATTAAAGTTACAATGATGAATCTTTTACTAATCTATTCAGGATAAAATTCTGTATCTATTCAATGAAAAAAATTTAGTTACAACTAATTTTAAACCATAATTATCATCAAAAAACTAATTAATAACTCCATAAACAATTTAACAACTTCAAAGCCGTGTAACTTTTTATTTATAACAATACCAAACTTAATTATTTTTACAATTCATACAGAATTTAACCATCTTTAATCCTCTGAAAGAATTTTTAAATTATCTCTTATACTTTCCAACATATCAACAAAAAACCACAAAAAATCATTTAAAAAATTCCATTTCACAGTTGGAGGTCACAAATTGGGCAAGATGCTCGTCGAAGGAAAGACCAAACAGGTCTTTGACCTACCTTCAATGCCCGGCCACTGCATGATGGTCTCCAAAGACGTCATCACCGCAATGAACGGTGTCAAATGCAACGAGCTCGCCGGCAAGGGCGCCATCTCCAACAAAACCAACGCAAAAGTCTTCGAAACCCTCAACGCTGTTGGTAAGTCCCGAGATAAACAACTTTATTACACAATTGATTGTTCAATCAATTGGTTGCCGACTGCATCATTCAGCAGATAACTTATCGCTAAGTGAACAACAACAACATGTTGTCCATGTTGGTCAACTGATATCAAGGTCAAGCATCATCATAACTTACATCACACATCATACAACCGCCATTTTGTTTCATTAAAAAAATTTTATTGATTTATCACAGGAATGAAGACAGCTTTCTTCAAACTCGCATCAGATGGCGCATTCATCGCTAAGAAATGTGAAATGATCCCAATTGAATGGGTCACACGTCGTTTAGCAACCGGGTCCTTCCTGAAACGCAATGTGGGTGTACCTGAAGGTTACCGCTTCAGCCCACCTAAGCATGAGATGTTTTTCAAGGACGATGCTAATGATGACCCACAATGGTCCGAAGAACAAATCATCTCAGCCAATTGGAAATTCAATGGACGCCATATTGGTCCTGCTGAAGTAGAAATCCTACAAACCACTAGTATAATGGTTTTTGAGATTTTAGAAAAAGCCTGGGCTACTAGAAACTGTGCTTTGATCGACATGAAAATAGAATTCGGCGTTGATGAATCCGGTGAGATTCTCTTAGCTGATATTATTGATTCAGATTCATGGAGACTCTGGCCAGCTGGTGATAAACGCCTGATGGTTGACAAGCAAGTCTATCGTAACCTGAAAAACGTCACCAGCAGTGACCTGGACACAGTAAAGCGTAACTTTGAATGGGTTGCTGAGCAACTGGATCATCTCACACCTGCGAATGATCATCTGGTGGCTATCCTCATGGGTAGCCCAAGTGACATGGACTACTGTAAGAAGATCCAAGGTCATTGTCAGTCTCTAGGATTGAATGCAGAAGTACGTGTGACTTCAGCACATAAAGGAACCAAGGAAACAATGAGCATGATTAAGTACTATGAGTCTTTACCATTGAAGGTGGTGTTTATTGCTGTGGCAGGTAGGTCCAATGGGTTGGGACCTGTGATTAGTGGTAATTCAGCTCTGCCTGTTATTAATTGTCCACCGGTGAAAGCAGAGAATGTTGATATGGATATCTGGAGCAGTTTGAATGTACCTTCAGGTTTAGGGTGTTCCACTGTGATCTATCCGGAATCTGCAGCGTTGAATGCTGCGCAGATGATTGGGTTGAGTAATTACGTGGTGTGGAGCAAGCTGAAGATGAAACAGTTGAATAATTACGTGTCGTTAAGGATGGCTGATAAACAAGCTCACCCTGAACAGTAACCAGTGTCAATTATGTCATTATTCTAGATATTTTGTTAATAAAACAAACAAAAACAAATGTTTATTGATTTTTTACCTTTTTGACATCTCAGATAAAGTCATGAATATGATTAATCTTTTAAGATATGGTAAGAAACTCTTGGGGATACGTGGAAGAGGTTAGAAGCATGAGAAACACATAAAAAGACGTTAGGAAGAGTGAAATTTATGATTTTGATTAGTTTTTTGTTTATAACTTTTAAAGTAATTAAGATAGAATGATGATTCTTTTTGTAATCTATTCAGAATTAAATTCTGTATGTTCTCAGTGAAAAAAATTGAATGACAACTCATTTTAAACCATAATTATCATCAAAAAACTAATTAATAACTCCATAAACAATTTAACAACTTTAAAGCCGTGTAACTTTTTATTTATAACAATACCACACCTAATTCTTTTTACAGTTTATACAGAATTTAACCATCTTTAACCTCCTGAAAGAATTTTTAAATTATCTCATATACTTTCCAAGATATCAACAAAAAACAACAAAAAATCATTTAAAAAATTTCTATTTACCTTCAATGCCCGGCCACTACTGCATGATGGTCTCCAAAAACGTGATCACCGCCATAAACGGCGTCAAATACAACGAGCTCGCCGGTCGCTAAGGATGGCTGATAAACAAGCACACCCTGAACAGTAATCAGTGTCATCAATGTCATTATTCTAGATATTTTGTTAATAAAACAAGCAAAAACAAATATTTATTGATTTTTACCTTTTTGACATCTCAGATTACAAAAACAAAATCATGAATATGATTAATCTTTTAAGATGTGGTAAGAAACTCTTGGGGATACATGGGTGTCGTGGTTATAAGAAGTGGGTACCAGATGCAGAAGATTTCAAGTTCTGGAATCGCCCGTTACCGTTTTCGGATGATGATATCAACGACCAGTTGAAGATTTTCTACAATCAGAAGCTGGCATTGGTCCCCAGGGAGCGGAAACTAGCGAATACCTTTATTAACTTTGGTCCTGCCCATCCTGCGGCTCATGGTGTGCTGCGTATGGTGTTAGAATTAGAAGGAGAGGTAAAAATCACTTTTTAACCTAATTATACCTAAAACCTAATGAAATTTTAAGGTTGTGAAGCATGCAGACCCTCACATTGGGATGTTACACCGTGGTACTGAGAAATTAATGGAGTACAAGACCTACCATCAAAATATCCCCTACCTGGACCGATTGGATTACATTTCCATAATGGCCAATGAACATGTTTATATCTTAGCAGTAGAAAAGCTATTGAACATCACAGATGAAATTCCTTTACGTGCCAAGTACCTAAGGGTCCTTTTTGTAGAAATCTGTCGAATTCTGAATCATATCCTAGCTGTGGTCTCACATATCTTAGACCTTGGTGCAATTACTCCTTTATTCTGGTTGTTTGAGGAACGTGAGAAGATTTTCGAGCTTCTGGAGCGTGCGTCCGGGTCCAGGATGCATACCGGATACATGCGGGTTGGTGGTGTGCAACAGGACATCCCCCTTGGTTGGTTGGATGATTTATGGGACCTTATGGCCAAAATGAATGAACGATTTGATGAACTTGAGGATGTCGTGACTACAAATCGTATTTTTGTACAGAGGACCAAAGATATCGGGGTTATATCTGCTCATGATGCTATTAACATGGGTTGCTCGTAAGATTTTACCCCCACTCCACTATATTCTTGTTTTTATATAATTTTTATGTTAGAGGTGTGATGTTACGTGGTTCTGGTATAAAATGGGACCTGAGACGTCAACAACCCTATGAAATCTACGACCAACTAGATTTTGATGTCCCCATTGGTACCAATGGTGATTGTTACGATAGGTACCTCGTCCGGATGGAAGAAATGCGTCAATCACTCCGAATCATCGACCAGGTGATAAATCTTATGCCAGAGGGACCCGTACGTATCAATGATCATAAAATAGTCCCACCATCACGTGCTGAAATGAAGGTAACCCTCCATTTTGTGTACATAACCCTAAAACACTACAAAAAACTACAAAAAAACAATTTTCTCATAGAAATCAATGGAAGCAACCATACATCACTTCAAATTCTACACCCAAGGCTTCACAGTGCCTCCTGGTGCCACCTACACAGCAACAGAACACCCTAAAGGTGAGATGGGTGTTTATATAGTCTCTGATGGTACCTCCAAGCCATACAGAGTCAAAATCAAACCTCCAGGCTATGCCCACCTTGCAGCAATGAATCATTTAGCTAAAAACAATTACCTTGCTGATGTGGTTGCCCTAATGGGTACCCTGGACCTTGTCTTCGGTGACATTGATCGTTAATCAATTTTTAATTCGTTTATTGTGTTGATTTTCGTCTTGTTTTTCATAGCAAATAAAAAGAAACAAATGAACAGAAAGAATGCAATTAATATCTCTTAGCTAGACTATATAATACATGTGATAAAGTCGTAAACAACATTTGTTTAATAATAATCATAATACGGGGGTGGCGCGCCATCTTGAATTGTCATGTGTCATTGGTGGAAACGGAAACTTATGTCGCTAATACCTCGAATCACCTAACAAGAGATTCTCAAAGTCCGTCGGCCATCTTGTCGCGCACGCCCAAATCATAGATAGATTTAAACACGGATTTATTTATACACTTTAAACGTCCTGCCTTATCAATTAAATTATCACATTTCGTTAAATTTAATTCTTGTGTCTGCGTCAAAATTCACTTACTTACATCTGCGTAACAGTATCACTAACGTTTATAGTTTCTAGATTGTTCGTGAGTATTTCATTCGCATTTGCCGTGCAGAGATTTAGTAAATCACTTCGTACACCGTCGCTTTTTTATCGCCGGAGCCTGTGACGATGTATTTATCATCCGCGGAGATGTCACAACTCAATACACTCGATGATTCCTTCGACTACAAACAGAACCAACAGAAAAATAGCATTAAATTGAGGTTATGTTTGATTAATGTAAGGTTATGTTACCTGGAATATACTAGCACCATACGGAGTCCTCCACGCATTCAGTAAATTGTCTTTTCCGGTTGAAACAAACCACTTTCCGCACGCAGCGAAGCGTAAACTCAGCACACAACTCTCATGCAGATGCAGTTGGTATTTATCCGGTTTCGAAGCATGTAACACCTCCACATTTGAATTCTCCATGCCTACAGCCAACCATTCACCAGTTGGGCAGTACCCCAATGAGAATATCTGTGAGCTGAAGTCATGTTGTTGCAGTTGCCGCCCTTCACGCAGGTCCCAGCTGCGTACGGTGTTATCCAACCCACCAGTCCACAACTTGGTACCATCCGCGGATATATCTATGCAGGAGGCACCATCTGTGTGACCTTGGAACTGCCGTACCAGTGTTTGGTTATGGAGGTCCCACACAGCGATGTTACCATCTGAACAACAACTGAAGCAGACTTTGGAGTCCGGGGAGATGGCCAACGCGTAACACGCAGGTGCTGATGAGGTGAGCTCTGCTTTGATACGTGGTGTGGGTGAAGCTAGGTCCCAAATGGAGAGGTTGGATGCCTCACCTCCTACGATCAAGGTACGACCATCGGGGAGGAGTTTTACTGATCGTATATAGTTGTCACGTTGCTAAAAATTTATAAATTTTATATTTTTGTTGTTTTTAAAGGTTATGTTGGCTTACCAAGCAGTCTAGTTGTGAAACAGGACTCTTGGACCCTGGTTGACTGATGTCCCACACCTTAACGCATCCCTTACCACCTGTGTAGACGTATTTCGTGGGATTGGAGATGGTCACGGCGCAGACGACCTCACCATGTCCAAGGGTATTAATTTGGCGCGCGTGGCGCGGTATTCCAGGCCCTATAAGGGCATCCGGCGGAAAGGGCACCGGTTGCATTTGTCCCTCGGCACTCACATGAAAGGAATACGCTCTAAAACCATCAAAAACCCATCAAATCTCTCTTAAAACCCATAAAAACATAAAACTTACGGTTTACCACCTGGTATTCCACCCATACCAGGTACCACCGGTGCCCGCATTGGTGCATGTGGGTCATAAGCAACTTGCAATGGTGGGCGTGGGTAAGGGTTGTTCATTGAAGGTTGTAGACTGTTGTGCATAGCCCCATATTGGGCTGCTACAGCTGCAGCTTGCAAATCATGTGGACCACCTCCTAAAACCCATAGAATTAGTACCCAAATGGTTTACCGTGAATATTATACTAACCATTTGACATCCCAGGTAAATATGGCGGATATTGTCCTAGTGCAGGTGGTTTCACAACGGGTTTAAGCCCACTTCCGCCTGCGCTGGACCCGGACGCACTTGTAGGTGTTACTGATTTGCTGATGGGTGTGGTGGGTTTCTCACCATCAAGTTTCTTGGTTGATGGTGTTGATGCATTACTAGATGTGCCTGAACGTGGACTGTGAGGTCCGGGATGTTCTTTCTTAGATGATAGTTTATCGATGCCATTTTCACGTGGGGAGGCTGTACCATTAGGAGGTGAGACCGGATCTTCGGAGGCATCGTCCACAACTAGGTCCTGATCGGATTTCTCACCATCAGAATGCTGAAAATGTCACATAACCTTAAATTTTGTGTTTTAACCTTAAAATTATACATTAGAGGTTTAGGAGTGAGGTTAGGTTATTTATATGTTAGTAATAATGAAAGTTTTGACATTTTAGTACGTACTTTCATACTTACGTGACCCATGTCCTTTTCCTCCTTTTTGACTTTCTTGTGGTCGGGTTCCTGTGGCGTTCGTGGTCTATACTTCTCCCTTTCCGCTGGTGATATTGAATTTCTCTGTAAACATACAAAATACCGCTTTTTAATTTTTATTTCCGGTTTTCCGGTTTTTATTAAAACGAATTTATTGTTTTAAATTTCTAGTACACTTCAACCACACTCAGTATTTCGCACCATTTACGGAAACAAAGAGTTTTCCGGTTTTCCAGAGAAATTTATCACCGGAAAAGTGTAAGAAAAGCGCGCTGTGAGTGCGAGACGACACATTAAAGTAACTTATAAGTGGAAATAAATGGACGTCGGCGTCGCAACCGGGGGGCGGTTGAGTTGGCGAGAGCGTGAAACGCACGAATCGGCGCCGCCGCCGCCGAGCACTGTTAATAATCCACTAAATGAGGTGAGTGCCAAATGTTTCCAGCGCTGCCAAGTAAGAATAAGACCGGAAGTTGTAGAATTGCACGAGTAGTTTCAAGAGATTACAACTTTGTTTCCAAGGATTACACGCTTTTATATTTTCGCTTATAACTCGGGAACTGGTGCAGCGATTTCAAGATTTTAAACGGAAATGGATTCATTGGGAAATTGTGCAAGTTTTTTGTGTTAAATACTTTTCTGTGACATTTTTAGTTTAAAAGTTACAGACGTTTTTTAAATACAAAAATAAAAAACGTAATTTTTGCACATTTTACAAGATTTCCGGTTGTTCCCATCCGGAAAAACATAAGTGCCATACATAAAACAAAAGATAATTAAATTATCTCTAAGATAAACCCTTTTTGAACAAAATCGGATAATTTTTACAAAAGTTACAAGCAAAAAACTTTGTTTAAAACCTTCTTGTGACATTTTTAGTTTAAAAGTTACAGACGTTTTTTATATAAAAAAGGTAAAAAAGTAATTTTTGTACATTTTACAAGATTTCCGGTTGTTTCCTTCCGGAAAAACATAAGTGCCATACATTAAACAAAAGATAATTAAATTATCTCTAAGTTAAACCCTTGTTGAACAAAATCGGATAATTTTTACAAAAGTTACAAGCAAAAAACTTTGTTTAAAACCTTGTGTCGTACCGCTGGGTGTTGTAATTCCGGAATGTGTCCGGAATGCGCGATCGCATCACATTTGCGTGCGCCGAATCTAAATGCAAACGCGAATTGCGAAAGCAAGCTCGGCGCGGTTAGGGGTGGCTGCGGTGTGAAGGGACCGAGCAGGCGCCGAGCGGGGGCGGCAAAGTCGACCGAGTTCCTGCGGTTTCGGTTAATAGAGCCGAGAGCGAGGCGCCGCAACCCGCGCGACTACAATCGGCCGAGGCGAGCGACACCACCACAACCCTCACACCCACCAACCACCCCCATTGCCGCCCCCACCACCCTTGGGGCTTTAGTTTACTGCGTTTACGTTTAGCGTTAAACACGCGCCAAGACACCGGTGATAAATTCGTGATTTACCCATCCGGATGCAGAATTTCAATACATATTTCCATTGGGGGCGGCAGCGGGGGCAGCAGGGAAATATTTTTCTCCTCTTTTTTAACCATTAACCCTCCGGGGTTGTTTGTGCGTGTCTATGCATCGCAATCTCGCTGATTTTACGCTCGCCTTTGTTTTTCAAAGTAAAATCCCGGTTTTCCGTTTTTTGCCACCCCCAACGCCCGTCGATGTTAAGTTAGGGGGATGAAAGCAATTTTTTCACGGGTTCAACGCGTCCGTTCAACGAAAAGGCGCGCGGAGCATGAAAGGTAACTAGGGGCGCGCGAAAAGGGGATGAAAACGGAAAGCGGAAAACTGGAAAACGCCTGCACTAATTAATACGCGTCAGGCGCAGATAATTATCGACATTTTATCCGTGCGCATATAAAAAATCCCTCTGCGAAAATGCGGAAATACAGAAACCGGAAAACCGGAAACTACCCTTATTTTGCCTGTATTCCTTCAGATGGTCCCACGAGAGTGGGTAATTTGATTTGGGTCCTCCTCGCCACTTTATCCGCTTCGTACGCATACAGTGTGTCCCAAGTCAACAATTACACCCCGGGGTGAGGATGTGTGTGCGGGAGATCTACCCTCGCAAAGATTTTAATTAATATTAAGTGACTTGCCGCGCACACCACCCCCGCTGCTAATTGAAATTTATTTCGAGTTTCCCGGAATTTCCATTCGCGCGCCGTTGGGGTGGTTTCCATCCCCCATTTCGTACTTTTCCAATGCGGCGGGAAGAACTTTGTAAAGGAAGTTAACTTGTCGGAAAGTTGGAAGATGGAAATTCCAAGATGCGGAATTTCATCCCCTAACACATAATACACGAAGATGTTAAGGGTGAGAGTGGGTTTTCGGGGGGATGATAGTGATAAACTCCAGTTTCGTAAAGTTGCCCTTGGTCAGCGATTTTTTACGATTATTATCTTTCTTTTCCCGGTCGCATAAGAGTAAAAGTAATAAGTTTTCCGGTTTTCCGGTTTGTGTTTTTTTGTTCTATCAGGTTATAAAAACATCGACAATGTGGAAATCGTATCGTTTTTTATGATATCTACTCAAATGACACTTAAAAAAGGTAGTTTTCCGGGTTAATTTAGGGGTAGTTTAATTTTTCAATGTTAAATTTGCATCCGGTAGTAAAATTAATATGCGGTTTGCGCTAAACGCCCCCCGAAACAGTAAGATAAGGATTGTCGGGCTGCGGCGGCGGCGGCGAGACCTTGAGGGTTGAATCCGGGCCCGAGAGGGGTGGCTTTGCGGCGGTGGCGGCGGCGTGGATGTAAACTCGACGCAGCAGCAGAGTCTGGCGCGTTGCGGTCGCCGCCGGTTGCGGTCACGGCAAGGCAACAAGACCGACATCTCGGTCGACGTCGCCGCCCCCGGGCACAACCCCACCCTATCTCTTCACACACACACACACCGCACCAACTCTACCACCACCTCCAGTAGAAACAGACTGTTTTTCTCTTTATCTCACGCGCGCGGCTAGACTTTGGTCCGCCGCCTCCGCCGCCGCCGCCATATCTACCCTTAGGATGTAAAAGTTGAGTGGGGGTTGTGGAGAAAACGTCAGACAGAGATAAAGATACGAATGTGCGGGGCTTGTTAATAATCCAACACTCTAGGGGTGAAAACAACCCCTAAAAAATTATACAGGGTGATACAAAAAATTTCATAAAAAAAATAAAAAGTAAAATATTTAATTCATTAGTTTACACAAAACATACTGTATGTTTATATTTTCTTCAACCCCTTACACGCACCCTTATTATCCGGGGGCGGCAGTAATGATAATATTAATTACACTCGAGAATATTTCCTCGCCTCGCCGATTCGAGTTGAGTTGACACGAGGAGTGCGAGAGTCAAAGTTGAATGAGAAGTTAAAGACGACTTGAGGGGTGGTTGCGGGGGCGGCGGCGGCGGAAACGAGGGTTGAAACCGACAGAGCGGAATGTAATTACCACTCGAAGAGTGAAAATGTGCTATGCTTCCCCTTGGCAAGTCACATATTTAATTAACCTCACCCGCCCCCCATTAAAAACCACCCCTTTATAAAAACAACCCTTAATTTAAAAATAAGTTTTAATTAGTATTTATTATCGCCGTGGACATATTGTATGTTTATGTTTATGTGTGTATGTCGCAAGGTGCAAAATGATTCGCGTCGAGGGGATGTCGAGGGGTGGCGGGAAACGACGCCCTCGAGGTGCAATTACACCCCCCTGAAATGTTGTACGACTCGACGCACACGCCAAGAGGGATGCCACTTTAACACCCCGTTGTTAAACAGTTTCTACTCTTAAACAACTCAATCTACCAAAACTACCCTTAAGTAAAGTGTCATTTTCAAAACTTAACCTCAAAAATTTTGTTTTTAGGAAAACTTAACCTTAAATCACATTAAAATGATTTTTTAGTGAAAAATAAGAAAAAATGAAAAAAATGTACATTTCATCCCTTAAATTGACTTTCACCCTTTGGAAACAACCCTTAATGGACGTAAAATGGCAAAAAATAACCTCAAAATGATTTTTTTCATAAATTTTTAATTTTTTTGATGTAAAAATGACTTTTTAGGTTAAAATTTGATTTTTTTTTACATTTCATCCCTTAAATTGACTTTAACTCTTATGGAACTACCCTTAATAGACGTAAAACATCAAAAAATAACCCGAAATAATTTTTTCATAAAATTTCATATAAAAATCATGTTTTTATGTTAAAATTTGATTTTTTTAAAGTTTTCATCCCTTAAATGAATTTCCACCCCCTTTCATCCCTTAATTCTTGTATTTTTTGTTCTTTTGCGTTAATAAACTTGTAGTAGGTACTCACGTGACGCTCTTCCGCCGAGTTGATACCTGCTCACAGTGGAAGGGTAGTCATGGCGACGTCCCGAGAGGGTGCAATCCGGAAATGGCGGCGATGCAGGTTTCGCAGGTGCAAGAGGTGGAGGCGGCCAATCGCACGACACGCCGGGAACATGAAACAATTGCGAGAGAAACGCAAACAATTGAGAGAAAACGTACAAAACGCCAACGTGCGGGGAGAAAAATCTACAAAACCCAACGAGAACGTGCTCAAACAAACCGCCCCCCACTAATACTACACGTATAACATCGGGTGGGATGCACAAGAACTTGTTTGAACACATTTTCTGCATTTCCAACATAAATTTTAATTTTTAAACCAAAAAACATGAAATTCCAATTATTTTTATAATAATAATGAGAGAACACCCTGTATAAAAATGGTAATTTGATTTTTCCGGGATGTTTACACTTGAGTACGCTCAAATTCCGTTCGGAATGTGTTACGTGTTCATGGCGTAGGGAAAAAAAGGAAAAATAAAAAACGATGCGTTCCCCTTCGAGCGTTGACACTTTACACTTTACTCCGACATCGACTCTAACATAACCTATGTCTCATTCGAGGGGTGAGCGCCAGATTGTTCTCCTCAAAGAGGGTGCGCGTCGAGAAGTGACACTTTTATATGCGACACGCTCGTACGAGCACTTACCACCCCCTTGAAACCTTAAAACTCACCCTAAAGGAGAAATAAATCATTCTTTCACTGCGTTTTATGTTTATAACCTATGCAACATATAATACATGTTGTATTTTAGGTTGCCTATAGTAAAACATTACAAAATAAGTAAAAACACGCGCTAAAAACAGAAAAAATCATTTTTTTAAAAGGTTACATTAGGTTATGATGTTATAACCTATGCAACACATAGCACATCATGTGTTTTTGGTTGCCTATAGTAAAACATCATGAAATAAGGGAAAACTCGCGGTAAAAGACAAAAAATTCATTTTTTAAAGAGGTTACATTATGTTTTTACATAAAAACCCATACAACCCATAGCGCAAGATGTGTTTTAGGTTGCCTATAGCAAAATAACATAAAATAACTAAAAACACGCGCTAAAAAGCAAAAAAATCAGTTTTTTAAAGAAGTTATATTATGTTTTTATGTTATAACCTATGCAACACATAGCACATCATATATTTTTGGTTGCCTATAGTAAAACATCATGAAATAAGTGAAAACTCGCGGTAAAAGACAAAAAAATCATTTTTTAAAGAGGTTACATTATGTTTTTACATAATAACCTATACAACCCATAGCGCAAGATGTGTTTTAGGTTGCCTATAGTAAAATAACATAAAATAAGTAAAAACACGCGCTAAAAACGGAAAAAATCATTTTTTTAAAAAGGTTACATTATGTTTTTATGTTATAACCTAAGCAAAACATAGCACATCATGTGTTTTAGGTTGCCTATAGTAAAACAACATAATATAACTAAAAACACTTGCTAAAAAGCAAAAAATCAATTTTTAAATGGTTATATTATGATGTTATGTTATAACCTATGCAACCTATAACACATCATGTGTTTTCAGTTGCCTACCATAGATAATCATATAATAATCCTATTAAAAAAGTTTTATTTTAATTCCACGCTGGTTTCTTCCCTCTAAAGGTTTCCTAATGCTTTTATCACCCCATCGTTCTTTATTATGCTCCCCTGCACCCCTAAAGCCATTCTTTGTACTTACTTATACACGTCAAACTCAAACCCACCCCAAAACTTCCAAACGGAAAAAATATTTAAGATTTTAAGATTATAAGACTGTGGAGGAGTTTTAAAGAGGGTAAAAGAGGGTCATCCCCTCTGCGTGCCTGCGTAAATTGATTTTTTTGTTCCGCAAAAGAGGGTGAAATGCGTCTTGCAACCCCTAAACGGAATATAATTTAATGTCTCGATCACTTTACAAATTATTTTCCCGACTTTCATCTTTTATTACGCGCTGGCTGGCGTCTTCGACGGTCCTTGATTAATTCACCCCTACTGCGCACAACCCCCGCAGGGGTTGTAGGGGGGTGGGGGGGGTGGAATAAGAGAGTGAGCAGTTTTCATTTGCATTTTCTTTTCATCCTCCAGCTCCAAGACTATTGATTTTCGTAAGATTCCAGGATTTCCTTTTTATTTGCGGGGGCGGCGTGCACCCCTAAACGTAAGCGCCATTTAAAACGCCTCAAAAGAAAAAGAGAGGGTGGAATACGCGCCTCGAGGGGTTGCTTTAATAACGCTTAGCGTTTTCCTCATTACGCATTCTTCTACCATTTTCGGCGGGGCGGCAGAAGTTTTTCCTTCTTTATATTTAAGGGATGAAAGACAACGACACAGAATCATCCCTTCAATTTGTTTCGCCCCGTGCGGAGGGTGTAAATATTTAACTTTGTTCCTAATAATCATCGGGGGCGGCGAAAAGGGCTGCACTCATTAAAAACCGGAAGCCACTTAGCGGATAAATATTTGCCGGGTGATTAAAACGAAAACACTGCTGATTCAACCCTTTAAACACTCCCCAAACAAAAACTTTTTTTATATACAGAGTGTTTTATAACTTACCGCTATTAGATTTGACGTCATCAGGTCGATGCAACTCCGGTTTGACAAGCATCGACAGTGGGTGTTGACCAGGCGCTCCCAGCGCCCCTGACAGACCCAATAGACTCGCCGCTGAGCTGGGCGGAGCTCCCGCGAGGCCTGGATGCGGCATCATGGGGATAGGTGGCGCTGCATGCGCTGGCAGTTGTTGCGCGTGCATTTGTTGTAATAAACGTGGAAGATCTGGCCGTTGTTGCTGGAAAATCACACACGAAACATCATAAATATACAGTGTGTCTCTTGATGTTTAAGTAGGCAACCATAAAAGCATCCTTCTTCAGCCCGTTTAGTTTTATTTTTATTTTTACTTCCCACACGGCGGTTTATCGCTTTTATCTTTTTAGTTTTACGTCCGGTCGTTGTGCGCACTCCACATTTCCCTCAGGGGTGTTTCATCCCTTTTTACTACGAGTGTAGTATATTTTAATATCGGAATAATTCAGTTGCAAGCTTTTCATTTACGCGTTGCAACTTTACGTATTAAGGACACATTGTATATAAAATATTTTAAGAGGGTTGTAAAACGCCAGCGGAATATGTTGCACGTTTTATGCACGGATGTAAACTTGAGCGCTTTTAAAATTTTTACGATTAACCTGTAAAAACGTCAAAAAATTACAGGTTTCTGTAACTCACCCCAATGATGGCGTTCAATTCAGTCATGGTGACTTGTTTCGCACGCTCGACGGCAGATGCCACCTGCTGTTGGTGTTCCTGTGACAGGAATGGCAAAATCTGCGCGATTATCGCATTCAGTCTCTTTGCTATTTCAGTCTGTAAATAATAATAGATTATAAATTAGGTTATGTTGCATGGACATAGTGTATGTTGATATTTTCTACGCCTAGAATAAATATATTATCAGAGGCGTCTTGCTCTTGTCGGTCGAGGGTAAATTATTTGAGTTGGCGAGTTCCTCGACCGGCGCGCGCGAACAAACACGACCGATGTTGATGAAGGGAGAGGGGGAAAAGGGGGGGGAGCGTAAAGAGGGTGGTGTAGATGTAGAGCATTAGCCGTCGACTAACAACCCTCGAAAGCAAACGCCCGGTCGAGCCGAACGTTAAACACGCGCGATTGTGTCCGCCACCTTGCCGCCCCCGCGGCTTACGCCACCCCCACGCTTGTTTACCGCACGTATTAACCCATTTTCTTCTCTGCGTGCATAATTCTCCACTAAATACACGCCAATGACATTTCACATGAAAACAAAATGGCGGAATTTAAATTTTGAGGTTAGGTTAGGTTATGTTATGTTAAGTAAATCATAGCAATGAAAATGAAGCAGTTTGTGAGTGTATGTTGGGTTGCATGCGATGCAAACATTACGAATGACATTTTTCGTGATTACGATTACGAAACTTGAACAATCGCCGCCCCCTTTCGTGGTCGTTAAGATCGCTTGTGTGCGATATGAAAATTAGTCACGCGATTTCAGATTCGGCCATTTTGTGATTGTGAAATTTGTTAAAATAGGTATTATCCAAGCGGTCAGTTGTGGTTTGTGGAGGCGGAAGGGGGGCGGCCGCATGACCGCATGCCGCCGTCGGCGGCTACCGCCTCCGCAAAACCGCCGCCGCAACAACTGTGCATCGTGCATGCACTATGCGCATGCAAGCCACCAAAGCCACGCCACCCGCAGTACACCAGTACAAAGTCGACATCTCGCTGGATGTATATTTGGTTGCCTATAGTCAACAATCCATAAAATTTCGATATCCGAGGGTCGGAAGTGGAAAATTTCAGCCAGGCACTTGTGTACGCGTGTCGGACACGTGCCGAAGGGTTCGACTCGACCTTTCCACCCCATTTAACAGCGGTGAAGCATAAGTAAACATTCACCAAACGATCTTTTATATTTTAAAGCATAAATTGCATGTTTTGCTTTGTTAGATGTAAAAAGTGATAGGCAACCAAGTGTACTGTTACTTTTTGACGCGAACACAAATCCCACTTATGTTTGCGTCGATTTAAGACCAACTTCTCCCCTGTGGAGTGAGATGGCGACACGTGCGTCGCATACGAAATCGCCGCGTCATTACGAGGGGAAAACTCCGACGTATCTTCTCTTCATCGTCGACCTAACATTCTAACCTCACACGGAATGCGCGCCGAATACGAAGCCAGGTAAGTGCGCGCGATGGGGATGATTCCCGTGCGGCGAATCGCAAATAAACGAGTTATTCGTGTCACGATTTCGTTCAATCGAGCAAGATCTTCGACGTCCTACCCTCGCACGCGAGCGGAATAACTTAATTCGAGAGTTTCTCGAATTGAAGATAATCTAACTTTGCGAAATAAAAGGATACACATTTGTAGTTTGTAGCGGTTTGAATTATAGGGGAGTGTGTTTGGTTGCCTAACGTTAACATTGTTTACATTTTAATTGGATTTTTATTGTTTTAAGGTAAAATTTTGTTAAAATCTTATTGGAAATGTTATAAAATTAAATAATATTGAATTCTTAATTGTTTATTATGATTTTTAATGTTTTTTAATGATTTTTTATGTTTTTAACTGTTTTAGGTTCATGTGACACTTGGTGTATCAACAGTTTCTTTCTTGGTAAGTGTTTGGTTGCCTAACATAAAATTTTTTACTTTTTTAAATAATTTTTAATGATTTCACATAAAATCAACTAAAATCTTATTAAAAATCATATAAAAATTAAATTATAATGATTTCTTAATTGTTTATTAAGTTTTTAATGTTTTTTTAATGTTTTTCTTTTAAATTTATTCAAATAACACTTCGTGCATCATCGGCTCGCGGCGATTAACCGCGCAACGGTTTCCCCCTTTGACAATCACAGCATCAGCCGGCGTGCGGGTCGTGCAGACGCTCCGCGAGTTTTATTGAAAAAAAACCAGTGTGAAATCACCGTGCGACAGTCCCAAACGCTGCGAATCGATTTATCCAGGTAGGATCTCGCCGTTTATTATATTTTTTACGATGACAATACGCGCGCCGCTTCGTAATCTGCACGAAAAGTGTTTGTAACCTGCAACGCATGACTTGCAACTTCGGCGTCACTTTGCACCACTCCGAATGACGTCACAAAACTTAACACACGCACATACAGTGTTTATAATAATAATTTTTATATAAATAAAACAAAATAGAATAAATTCATACCTGTTTGTGCATTTCGACGTTGAGTCCATACGACATTTCGTAATACTGCAAAAACAAAACACAAATTAATCAATTTTCAATTATTCGCTGGTGCAACAAAAACAAAAACACGCCGCGCGCTTTTCAATGGCGGACCGAATGTCAATTATAAATAAATAAACACCGATTGCGAATTTATACGCTCTCCGCGCGCGCAGTGTGTGTATTTGTTAGCGGCGCACATTTTATATTTATTTATATTAATATTTGATATATCCGGGAATTTCATCGCATGTCGATTTCGAAATCGTGCATTTACTTTCGTATTAATTAATATTAATATTTAATAACGAAATTGCGCAAATATTGCATATTCGCCGTCATTAAAATAAAATAATTTAAACGCTAAAATTAATATTTCAATATCAATAGATTTTATTTTCCTGATTCGGCATCAAATCAAAATTTATTTATTTTTTAAAAAATCATGAAATTATTTTATTAATTACATAATTTTCGCCATTAAATTTTAATTAATTTAGTTTATGCGTTGGATTTTTCCCAACGCAGAATATTATTATCGGCCGACCCGTCGAGAGCAATTACACTAAACGCGGTAATATAATATTACTAATATTCGTAATTACACGTATTAAGTTTTACGCTTTTTGTGCCGCGTCAGCGTTCACTTCACCGGTTGACTAGTCGATTTCTTCTGACCGCGCCGCGCACCACCTTAATTATGATCGTTGTGTGCCACGGCTTGGGCCGGCGTCGATCGATGCGATTCATAAAGCGCGCCCGCCGGCAAACGAAAATTAAGTGCATGCTAAGTATTGTAATAAACTGGCGGAGCCGGCGCGCGGAGGAAACGCGATCGCTGGATGAGGTCGCGCAATAAAAATAAAAATCCTAACGACGTCGTAATTAATGTTCGAAATCAACGTACAATGTGTCCACAAGTATTTTCAGCATGGAAATTTGCTATTTATTGGGTTTTATGTGAGGTTAGGTTGGATATACAGGGTGTTTTTCATGTAAATTTGGTAAATTTTGCAAAAAAATTTGTTTTTTTTTTTGTTTTTTAAAGGTATTTTTCAAGGGTTTAGAAGATGGGAACTGTGCGGATATTGTAGAGAACCTCGGAAATTACTATATACCGTTTACAGATTTCAAATTTTCGTATTTTTACCTAAGTTACGGGGAGTTTTCTACGCAAATTTGGTGAAATTTGCAAAAATTGTCTATTTTTGTCCATTTAAAGGTACTTCCCAAGGGTTTAAAAGGTGGGAAGTTTGGGCATCTTGTAGGGCGGCTCGAGAATTATAATATTGCGTTGACAGACTTAAAATTGTCCTATTTATACCGAAGATACCGGGTGTTTTCCATGCAAAACTTGGTAAAATTTGCCTAATTGTTCATTTTTGATAATTTAAAGGTACTTCCCAAGGGTTTAAAAGGTGGGAACTTTGCCCATCTTCTAGAAGGGTTCGAAAACTATTATATCCCGTTGACAGACCCGAAATTGTCCAATTTTTACCAGACATACAAGGTGTTTTCTTCTGAAGTTGTAAAATTTTGACGAAAAAACAGTTTTCCAGGGCATTTTAGGGCTCTTCCAAATACCTAAATAGTCTAAAGGGTGCTGATATTGAAATGGGTCTCTTCTATTATATTCCACCGTTGAAAAACCCCAAATTACTCTCTTCTATCACGAGATACAGAGTGTTTTCTGTTGCCAAATTTGACAAAAACACAAAATTCTTCATTTTTTCTTCTTCAATAATAAGTATTCCGATAAAACCATCCATCCGGATTCTGTCGAATGATATACTTCCGAATTTCATCATAGATAAAAATCAGCACAGCAAACGGCAGCACCGGGCACATGACCACATAACAGTTAACCGGATGAAAACCCAGCTTGACATTAATATAGGGGCAATAAACCACAAACGCTGACAACAACACCTCAAACAACAATCCTTTGATCATCACTCCATTAGTAAACCCATGCTGGGCCAGTGACAATCGCCTCGTCTTACTGATAAGACAATCCGAAATCTGTGTAACCACCAGCGCCAAAAAGTACGCCGAAACACCCATGCGTTCCAAAGTCATGCGATCCTCATGCGTCCATTCCACATTGTACGAATCATAAATAGCATTAGATTCTGAATACCATTCATCCTGGATATTTATCAACCTGTCCCAGAGAAACCCATATTCTGCCATGGTGAAAAAATACGATGCCAGACTCCCAAACGTTTGTAGAGTACCAATATTCAGGTAACAGAAGAGAATCAGTTTCATTCCAACGAGGTTATCAAATTTAGGGTCCCGAGGAGGTCTGTCCATGATATCACTCTCTGCGGGTTCATAGGCGAGGCTTATCCCTGGCCAGAGGTCCGTACCCACATCCAGGATCAACACTGCTATGACCGTGATGATTCTAGGTGTCCCCAACATAAGATAAATCACGAAAGGTACCACTTCCGGTATGTTTGAGGTTAGGATATAGGCGATAGACTTTTTGAGGTTATCATAGATGATCCTACCTTCTTCTATACCCATAACAATAGAAGCAAAGTTATCATCCAATAGAACAAGATCCGCAGCATCTTTTGATACATCCGATCCACAGATACCCATGGCTATACCTATATCAGCCTTCTTCAAAGCTGGGGAATCATTCACACCATCTCCGGTTACAGCTACAATTTTTCCTGTTTTTTGATAGGCTTCTACAATTTGTAGTTTTTGTTGTGGGCTGGTGCGAGCAAAGACCAACTCCTCATACCTCTGAACAATCTCATCCAATTCCCCAGCGGTCATCTTCCGCATATCATACCCTGGTATAACACAAGCTTTACAAGCTTGCACCTCTTGGGGTATCACCTGACTTACAGAAATCTTTCTTCGTTTTGCTATGTCTTGTACAGTGTCATTTTCCGGAGAGATTATACCTACTTTCCTCGCGATGGACATGGCTGTTACTGGGTGGTCACCTGTGACCATCACTACGCTGATTCCAGCTCGTTTGCATTTTGCTACAGCTTCCCGCACACCAGGTCTAGGTGGGTCTATGAGGGACATGAACCCTACAAAACGTAAACCCGTAACAGGGAAGTTGATCATGTCAGAGAATTCATAATCTGCTGTATATTCCGAGGGGAGTTTCAGGTCGGCAAAAGCCAGGACCCTTTCTCCCATGTATCCCAACTCCATGAGGATGTTTACTAGTCTCTTACGTTCGGAATCCAGTAGGGGTAACTCGTGTTCTTCTATCATCACACTTGAACATCTATCTATAACCCTTTCAGGGGCTCCTTTGAGGACCAAAAGGAGATAATCATCATTGGGTCGTTTATGGATTGATAGTTGGTATTTATTCGCGGAGTTGAAGGGTATCTCAAAGATTTTCGGGAATTCTTTCCTGGTCTTTTTTGTGTTGCGGGTTAAGAGTTCCATGCATTTCAAAACAGCGGTTTCACTAGCATCTCCCAGGACAGCCCTTTGCATCACAGGTATGGTCCTCTGGGCTTCTTTAAAGGTAGCCCTACTGCATAATATCGCACATCGGCAGAGGTATAGATAATTATAAGTCGTACCATTTACATATGTAGGTGATAACACATCAAATATATTGTTATCATAATACATATGTGATACGGTCATCCGGTTCTGAGTAAGGGTTCCTGTTTTATCCGAGCAGATTACATTCGTTTGACCTAGGGTCTCAACAGCGTGCATGTTTCTAACCATGCAGTTTTTATTACTCATTCGTTTCGCCATCAGGGTTAAACAAGCAGTGATTGTTACCAGAAGGGCTTCTGGGATATTAGCTACTAGGAGACCTATGAAATATATAAACATTTCAAAACCCTCTTTTCCCATTGACAACCCCAGAATAGTCACTAGAGAAGAAACACATATGGCGTAGATAGTAATAAACTTGATGAATCTCTTCACTTCCTGTTTCATTGGAGTGCTCTCCGGAGCTAATCCGGAAGTTAAGGTAGCGATGTGTCCGATTAGGGTAGCTTGCCCCGTGGCGATAACTATACCCTTACCACCTCCCTCGATGACATTGGTACTGAAAAACGCTAGGTTACCAGTTTCCAAAGGGTTGTCATCGGTTGCATTGACACATCTCGTCTGGGGTTCACTTTCTCCTGTGATAGAACTGTTGTCTACCTTCAGGCTATGACTTTCTATTATTCTGAGATCAGCTGGGACCACATCTCCTCCTTCCAATCTGATTAAATCCCCGGGGACTATCTCCTCTACGCTTACATTGGATAGCACACCTCCTCTGATCACCGTAGCGGTTTTAGGGACCATCTTTTTGAAGCTATCGATGAGTTTACTGTTTTTGTATTCTTGGATAAAACCAAAGACACCTGTGCCTACCAGGATCACGAATAATACTATAGATAGGTACATCTCGTCTAGTTGATCAGGGTGGATGGTGTAGTTGATGGAGAATGCTATCACACTCAATGCTAGACTTCCCCAGAGGATAGCAGCGAACCCTCCGAACATGTAATTCAGGAATACCAAAAACATTGAACGAGTTGCAACTGCTTCCAGTTCATTCCGCCCGTATTTTACTAACATGCGTGCGGCTAGTTCACGTGGTAATCCCTCGGTTAAACTCGTGCGGTATTTGAATTCCAGTTCCTCTAAGGATAATTTATGGTCATTGGTGGAGATTTCCTGTCGGTAGATATCCATGGTTTTCGCAGTGGCTTTCTTGCTGGCACGTCGAAAGTGAAAAGCTTTACTTTTTGATTTTGGGTACAAAGGCCGACTAGCCGTTGAGCGGCCATCTTGGACTGGGGAATGTCTCGGAGTGATGTTGATTGTCTCACCCTCGAGGGTATCATCCGGGTTGAAGGATGATCTGTGTTGGTCTTTTGGTTTGCTGTATTTCTTACCCATGACGTGATATTTATTATTTGTGAAAATTTGTTTTTAATGTTTTAATATTTTCATGGATTGCTCCTTTGAATTGACAAAATAAAATTGATTTTATTATTTTATTTATTATAATATTATCATGCACGGCACGCGCGTGTATTGTGTGGAAGTATAAATTATAATAATGCACGGATTATATGCGAGTTTAATGAATACTAACGACGCACGCGGAATATAAATGTTGAAAAGCGCGACGCGTCACGGAATGCGATACGAAATTAAAATGAAAATGAGCGTATCGATGAGCGACGTGTGTGCAGTAATCAAAATAACATATATACAACCGTGTAGAGAGAAAAACCAGCCAACAACACACTCGCCGGATAAATGGCAATAAATTGATTTTTATCGGCGCATAAATATCGCCATTTTATTTATTCGCGCTCACACTTACCCGTGGGTGTGTGTGGGTGATTGACACATTAAACACGCATGGAATATCATCAAATTCACTTACCATTACGTAATGTCGCTGGATTTCGATTTTTTCGCTCGCTAATTTTTCGCATTCTAATTTTAAACTAGAAAAATTTTTAAAAATTAGAAATTTATTTTTATTAAATTAATTTTTTATATATTACTTGTGGTATTGTGCTTGAAGAAAATTGAATTCCTCCTTTATCCGATCGCATGATTCACCCACGGTGAATTTGAACGGCTGGCCAGGCTGCGGAGGACCCTGTAAAATACATATAATAATGATTATAAATTATTATGTGGACACATTGTATGTTTAAATGATCATTAAAATTACTGTCGCGCACTATAACCGCGCCACCATATTGTTCCGTGTATACATAATGAGTAATTGTTTTGTTATTCGATTTATTTCGATTGCCTCCCGGGCGTGCTGTGTGTGCACCAGCGGCGCGCTAATTAAATGACCATTTTCGTGCCGATTCACGAACAACACAAACAACACACGCACACATGTATACATGTATACACCCAGTTAATGTTTTAATTTTTACACATTAATTTAATTTTTTATATTTTTATTTCAGACTAGCTTTAACCCGCGGCTTCGCTCGCGAATATTTAAAATAATGAAATTGCTTCCGTACGCGTCTGTAGTCACAGAAGAAGTAACAATGAAGTAGAATGGCGGGAAGTTTAAAATGGCTGAAAGTATAGTCTATGGAAGTATAGTGTACAGTCTCCATAGTGTAGTCAATTGGATTTGATGTTGACGTAGCTGTCGGTAATACAGTGTGATAATACAGTGTGATGGTACTATAATACTTAGGTTTGAGCTTCATTGCTGGAATGCTAGATGGCGTTAAAGTTGTCAAATAGCCAGATGCAGAGGAATTATTGGCTAAACAATTTCTTTATTTTATTTAAAATATATATTTTTTTATTAAATAAAAAGTAGCCTATAACCATTCGGGGACCACTAAGAATATGTGTACAAATTTTCATGATGATCGGTTAAGTAGTTTTTGCGTGAAAGTGTAACAAACATCAGGACTTTCGCATTTATAATATTAGTAGGGATACTTGAGACGAGAAAATTCACATTTTAAGGTTAGTGTTTCTTTTTTTTAATTTTTAAAATTTTTGTGTGTGGAAAATTTATGATTTTGTAACACATAGCGCGTTGTACATAATTTCGGCATGTCGAACTTGTTTCGACCCTCGAGGGCCATCCCTGAACAATGCGCACTCTTTATTCGCACAAATGTGAACACAGAACAACGTAGCATATTGTTCGACAAGCAGAAAACCACTGGAATAGTCAATTCAGTTGTTCTGTTCTGTGGTGTTTATAAAATCAACACAGGAAAAAATTGTTAATATTTATTGATCACCTGTGCAAATAAAACACACGTAGCACTGTGATGTGGTGATTACATAGATAATTGCCCGGACGATATTTTGATTACCCTCCTCGGAAGTCGGGTGGTGTTCGTGTGCATGTTCATAACACACCCGCCGCGGAACCCGAAACATCAACTTGGCGGTGGCTGGTGTGGCCGCAACACGAGCGCCCGCACTCGATAACCCTCAATTGGGCCAATAATATGTTTAGGGTCAGATATGCCAAACACCAAACATGGCAACATCGCAACACTCCTCTCTCCAAGGATTTCAGTTTCATGTACTCTCGTATAACATACAAAGTGTTTGGAAAATATGTTATTTTAATTATTAACTTGGTTTGGTGGTAAAGTTGAGTTAAATAGGCATGTGTTTATATAGTATTGGTGTAGTACGGTATCATTATCACTGGCGTTATTATCTTGTCAGTGTTTGTATAGTCATCGACGTCGGTAGTTGAAGCCATAGTTGGCAGAGGGTGAGGGTGTGGTTGAGGTGGCGGCGGCGGCAGGCGGCGTGTATCGATGTAACATCGTCTGTTACATTAACATGCCCATTAAACCGATACAATAACCGCCTGCGAATCGATTCGATATAGTGCGACCGCAAGCACAACGGCGAGGGGTTGTAACACTTCATCAAACTACCGTCAATATATTTTTTTAGGTTAGGGTTCTGTTGAAATTGTAAGTGGGGTATGAATTTTTAAATTTAAAACCGGTTTTCGGTATACCGGTATTTTTTAAGTCAAAATATCGGTTATAAAATGATGTATTATATTGAAAAATACCGGTATACCGAAATACCGGTTATTCGGTATACCGGTATTTTTTAATTTCTTAAATAATCACTAAATGAATCAAATTTCTATGTTAAAAAATAAAAATACCGGTTACTGATACAAATACCGGTATTTCACACCCCTCAACTTGTACAATTCACACCCCCCAACCCCTTGAAACGAGTAGTACAGGGGTAATTGCTGTGTATCCGGTAGTGGTGAGCTAATAGTAATTGTGCAGCCATCAATTCGATAGCCGGACCTAATCGGATATTTGCGGGTTGGTAATTAATTACCTCAACGTCTATGTCTATGCCCATATCCAAGATTTACCTAGCCATACATACCTCTACCTCTTAAACACCCTGTATATATTTCATTATACATTATCGTGTATGTAGCACATGCATTTGTATAATTTTTAAGATCGACGTGCCGCGATACTGTCTCGCTTGAGTGTGATCGGCGCGCAGCGATAAAGACGTTCGGTAATCGCTGAGGAAAACCAACAATAACACACACAACAATGTGACGGGAATTAACATTAACACGCTCGCCGAGCGCTGAGCAAACGATGCGCGACGCGCGCAATACACTCGCACTACTACCACATAGGTTAAAAGTTAAATTGATAAGTAAACTTACTTAACTTGAGTAGAGTCGGAATTGAAACGAAAAAAATATGAGTAAATATAAGGAGAGAGAGAATTAAAATAATAACGAACGGTTATAAAGTATACAAGCGTTAATTACCCATTACAAATGGTGTATGGTGGATTATACAGAGTGTTGCGGAATAAAATTAGGTGAAATAATTGATTATTACTTCTTGGTGTTTTATTGCTGGGTGCAGTAAACAAGTTGTTGGTAGATTGGTAGAAGAAGTAGGCAGGTAACACAACATGCGGTTCGTTAACTTGTTTGTTTTTCCGTTCGCCTAACAACCAACATTCGACGAAGTGTAATTTATTCAAATAAAACCAGTGTTCGACTTGTAGAAACAGTTAGCTATAGCATTATACAATATGCGAAGCTATTCAAGCGTGTAAACTTTTAATTTTTTCTTTTAACGCAGAAAAAAGCAGATAAATTCCTGAGTAATTCAGTAGTTGTGTAGGAAAACATTTAAAAAAATTAAGATTCCCACGATGTGACTTGTAAATTAAATTACTACATCGTTTAATAATATACTAGGTGTTTAATTTATTTTTGACATTTTGAACACTTGGTATATAAAATATTAAATAGTGTTTCCGTTGTGCGGCGGCCGAAAGCGTGACGCACATTATTATTCGTTATTGACTGGTTAAATGCTCTGAAACGTTTTCTTGCGCATATTTTAGCGTAAAAAGTTTTCTTTGCTCCGCCCCCGGAGGGTGTGCCACGCCCACTTTTACGCTCATTGTCTGTTCGCACGATTATTTTAATTATGATAGCGTCTACACACGCGATTTGCCGAAAATATGGGTGTAATTGCGCAAAATGAAACATTTTCAATGGGAAGATGAAATATGTTTGGTATTTGAGGTTAATTATCGTTATTATGCGATTTCCGGTTGGAATTTTTTATTTTTAACTAAATGACATTATTAAGCACAGTGTGACTGTGACACATGTTGCGTTTTTATAATTCGCCTGTTACGGTCCTGGTTGTTGGTTGTGGGACTCGGTGGCTGGCTGGCATTGTTAGTCTTGTGTCGTCTTGCGTTACGAATTATTCATCCGCGGTTGCAAAACCGCGCGCGCCGCTTTTGTGATGATACGATCGCCGGATCGCATAATCGCGCGCGCACACACCGCACAATGAATGTGTCATCGTTGCGTTCTTGTTACTAGTCACGCTTTAATAAAAATTTCACTGAAAAATATTTTTTAGTTTTACATTATTTTTTTTTTGTAATGTGATGTGATGTGTGGCGTATTGCGGTTACACTCGGTGTAGAATGTTGGTGTATGTGCATTGTTGGGCACGCACGTCACACGAGTGTGAAACGAGGTGTATTTCCACGCTCCGCCGGCGCGTGACTAATTCGGCCACTTATTTTTCTCTCCGCCGGCCGCGCCGCCGCCGCTCGCCCGCCGGCCATGGAGAGAACTCTCTCCGCGCGTCAAGCGCGCACCGAGGTAACCATGTAGAACAATTAGGAGATTAGCTCACATACTCTCGTGCGAATTAACTCAAAAATCAATTTTGTACATAGCCAGAGCTCATGTGCGACTGTTTACGGATGAAAATGCATAGAATCGTCATTAAATCGTCCTGCAATCATCATTTGTTGGATTATTTGACGCATCGTTAGATAATCGTCAAAAAATCTTCGTTCAAACGACATAGAATCATCATTTATTGATTTTGTGACGTATAATTAATTAATCGTCCTCAAATCGTCCAACAATCGTCATGAAATCTTCTAATAATGATTCCATGACGATTTTATAAAGATTCATCATCGATTCGTCAAGAAAACGACAAATGACGATCTTCTAAACATGTTACTTTATAAAATACTAGCTTTAACCCGCGACTTCGCTCGCGAATATCTAAAATAATGAAGTTGCTTCCGTACGCGTCTGTAGTCACAGAAGAAGTAACAATGAAGTTGAATGGCGGGAAGTTTAATATGGCTGAAAGTATAGTCTATTGAAGTATAGTGTACAGTCTCCATAGTGTAGTCAATTGGATTTGATGTTGACGTAGCTGTCGGTAATACAGTGTGATAATTCAGTGTGATGGTACTATAGTACTTAGGTTTGAGCTTCATTGCTGGAATGCTAGATGGCGTAAAAGTAGTCAAATAGCCAGATGCAGAGGTATTATTGGCTAAACAATTTCTTTATTTTATTTAAAAAATAATTTTTTTTATTAAATAAAAAGTAGCCTATAACCATTCGGGGACCACTAAGAATATGTGTACAAATTTTCATGATGATCGGTTAAGTAGTTTTTGCGTGAAAGTGTAACAAACATCGGGACTTTCGCATTTATAATATTAGTAGGGATAGTAGGGAAGTAATTTCATGTTTTTATTAATTTTAAAAATTAATTTAATTAATAATTCTGTACGTGTAGCATGAAACTTAATTAGCAGCACGATATAGAATGATTCTCTACGACTGCCGCCGCCTCCGCCCCTCGAATAAATATTGTCGCAACGATGTAATTGTTGCTGATTAAATTCATTACCAAATTTGTACGAATGCGGCGCGCAAACACCACGCGCGCGTCCGCGGTTTTGATATTTTAGGCGCGGGGGTGGCAGGCTCATCAACCCCCATTTACACACGCTCGCCGTATGTGTGTATATTTATTGAGCGAATTGGAATTTGAGTTTCCGAGCAAAATAAATACGCGAACAGACAGAAATTACAACATATTTGGATTACAACCCCACCCCTCACCGCGGGTTGTGATGCGCTGTGCGATGAAGCGAATTAATTCCCATGCACACCGCGCGCACATGAATAGATTAATATTAACTCTTCCTATCTGTCTGCGAAATTAATTATAATTAAATTTTTTAAAGTTGAATTTTTAACATAATTGTTTGGGGAGAGTTTGGGAATGTGTAGGGGTGAGTGTGAGTGTGTTGAATTTATATATCAGGGTAATTTCCGGTTGCGGGCCCCGACGAAATTGCGGTCGCGCGCTGCGGTCGAGCGAAACTATGCGCGAACAATTCGCCGCGGCGGCGGCGGCGGCGGTGACCGCGCCACCCCCGCAACGAGAATGAACTGACCGCTTCGCTTGTGTATGCGCGTGCTCTCGCTAACAGTGAACATTTGTTCATTTCGTGAAATAATTTCATTCGGTTTTGTGATTTATAAAAATTTTGTATTTTTATATGCGAACAAATTAATTTTGTTAATGTTGCATGAACGGAAATGTAATAAACATAAAAATCTAGTGATTGCTTTTAATAGCGCGTAATCAGTTTTAAATTTCATTTGTGAAGCATAAAAGTTGATATTGCATACAATGTGCTCACAGTATTCAATAGTAAATTAAGTATCAAGTAGCCGAATATCAGTTTATGTCACGTTATTACTTCACCCATGACTAAAGGCCGTGACTAAAGTACTTTTCTCATTGTTTTGGTTGTTCGTGTCTAAAATATCACTTTTTGTATCTAAAAACCGTGGAAAACTGTTGAAAGAAGAAAAAGTCCATGTTTTTCATAATTGCATACATTGTGTTCGTATTTAAATTTACTTTACGTCTTACGGTTGTCTATTGTTGCTGTTTAGAGGTAGATTTTATTGCACCTTGTTTGGTGGCTGGTCGTAAACCACCCTTGGGCCGTTTCGCCGCATTAACCATTATCATCACATTAGGCGCGCCGTGTGTGACTTCTTTTCAATAAACCCACCCCTGTGCGCGCAGTCATCGACCTTCCAGTTTGGGCGAATTTTACAGCGCGCCACGGGGTCTTGGGTATTAGGGTGTCTCTATAGGGGGTAGCAGCTAAACGCTTTTGTGTCACGACGTTATATTGTGCGCCCGGAATGCTCAGATTCTGGAATTGACTGCTTGAGCTTTGAGGAGGGTGCAGGGGTGCATTAAGTAGTGTTTGTGCACAGACACGTTTCGCGGTTATAGGGTTGCAAAAGTTATAAATAGCAGCAAGATATAGAATTAAAAATTAAAATTTTATTTGATTGGTAGATTAAGGGTAGTTTTTTTCCGGGGGTAATAAAATGCGAGAGGCGAGTCAAAGCGATTAGTTTATTATTGTGTCAGCATTGTCAGCACTCTGGGGCCATATGTTGCGACATCGCACCCCTCAACCCCCTCAACTTCATCCCCTACAGGGGAAAAAGTTTCCGTCGTACCCTTATGAAATTTTTACGATATTCGATTTCTGGATTTCGTCGAAATGCATACATTTCTATATTTCATCCCCTGCGCAAACACCCAACACAACATGTGAGGGTTGATTTCTCTACCTACCTCTCTTGTACCTCGCTCCGCGCTCTTCAACCCCTGGCGTTTAGCGTGTTTGCGATGCGCGGAGGCGCTCCTCTCATAATATGCCCGCAGAATGAACAAACACCGTGCGCCGAGGGTAGGTTTTAGTAAACTCGACACGCACGTACATTACACGACCGACAAATTCACCCCTTCGACTCTCTCTGCCCCAGCCAGGCTAGGCCCCGATGTGATATCATCCGCGCAGGGCAATACAAACCCAAACACCCTTGAGGGGTGTCTCGAGTACGCCACAATTTCCACTTATACACATACACACACACACATTTAGGTTCTAGGGAGAAGGGAAGCGCACAACAACATAGATCATCGTAATATGATAGCCCATGGGGGATGATTGTGCGCGCGGCGCGTAATCTGTATCGAAAGACCGTGAACTTGTCTATTGGCGTAACAACCCTCATTATTGCAGCCGGCAACAGACAACACAGGCCGAGCAACTGTTATAACTACCCCTAATTTAAGCAGACACTTATAATTCGCCCCTGGTGGGGTTGTATAGGGGCGCCGCGGCCACCATTTTTAATTAACTAAAGGTGTGCGTGTGTGCAGTTGTGTTGTGGAGAGTGTTGAGAGTCGCAAGTTGTTGAGGCAAGACACGGGACGAAGATAGTTGCGGATTGGATCGCGGATGGGTCCATCGACCTCTCGCGTGAGTTCTACGCTTGTCGGGTTTAAGTCAACGCGGCGGATTTGGCTTAAAACTGCGTCAAACTGCGGAAAATGAATTTTTCACTGATTTTTATAAGTAATATCAAATATTTTGAGTGAAAATTCATTATTTTACGTCTTTGGGGTTAAAATTTGGTTATGGCTAAATTTTGTACATAATATTCATTATTCACTCATTTTTTACAAATAATATCGGTTTTTATTAAGTAAAAAGTAATTATTCACAATTTTTTGCAAATAATTTCGCTTTTTTTCTACTAAAAATTGATTATTTTTAATTTTTGCAATTAATATCTCCATTATTCACTTTATTTTACAAATAATGAACATTATACACTCCAAAATAGAACCACTATATTTTTTTAATTAACAACAGGCCGGTAGTAGGCGGTTCACGTCGCGAGTCGGTCGCCAAACGAATAAATTTGCAAACATAAACATGTTTTACACGTATCCCACTTAATTATAACAACTTTACTCGGTCGAATACACGCCGCGCGCGCGCGCGCACACCATGTTACACATAACGACCGGTTCCACACCAACATACACACTTATAGACACACACACACACGCTCGACGCAAAAGTCTCTCTTTATGCACGCCAACACGCGACGGGTGGCGGTTAACAGCGCGAGGACGAAGTAACACGTTAAAAAGTCGTGCCATCGCAATTAATCAATTCCGAGCTTAATGCAATGTGTATCGGCGCGTCGAGGCCCCCTCCTCACCGTAACCCCCACACTTCTTTATATTTTCTTGTTTTGTAGTTACATTATTGCCGGTCGATCGGCTACTGCTACTATTACTACATTAACAAATAATAAATTTAACAGGGACGGACTTTAATTTAGAAAATTTTATTTTTTGGGAATTTTGTTTAGATACGGTCCTGTGCGGCAATAAAACGTAATTAAAATAAGTATGTCCGATGAAGTGGCACTTTGTCTAGTGGACTATCTTCGTCTCTAATTGACTCTTTGAGAGTTGAGTAGGTAGTGAGAATTTTAGACTTTTTTTTTAGGTTTTTGATTTTTTTGATTTCTTACCGTGTGTTGTCGCGCGGCCACGACCGCTGCGGCGGCTGCGTTCATTCCTGCACTCTGGTACATCACACGCTTCGCATCAGCAGCGCATCTTGTGAGTGCGCGCACCGGCGGCTGATGAGCGGCGGCCAATCGATAATTTAAAGAATCGAAGAATTACGACAACTCTCTATACACGCCGCCGCCGTTGTGTATGTTGTGTTGCGGCGCGCTTTTCTCTCACAATTTGCGTCGAAAGGCGTTGGTCGCCCGTCGGAACGCGATCCGTCGGCAAACAAATCACTAACACTTTTAGTATATATTATCAACCACAAAATTCAAATAATAAAAATAATTACGCGCACTTTTTTAATTTAAAAATTTTAAAAAATTAAAATATTTTTAAATTATTAAACACTACACTTTTCAATCTCACATAAAAGTAGTAGCTGAGAGCACTTAATCCACAGTGTATCGATGTATGTGTGATATATATATCCGTTTTGTTTGGGTGTTAATCAAATGCGTGTCACATCCAAAAGCGCACTGCACTGATTATATTATAATCCAAAATTTCGCCGTATACGCGTGAGATGAGGTTAGGTTAGGCAACACACACAGCGCGCGCGCGTATGTATATATACGATGCGCACGTCAGTGCGGCTCGATCGCAACTGGCGGCGTTGTCGGCGACGCGCTCCTTTCACCTCCCCGCGTGCGTTTCCCCTCGCGCCTCCCGCCCGCCCGCGCGCGCCAGCCGGTAAACCTCGAGGCAGTCGCGGCCGAGAGTGTTCATCCGAGCGGCGGGAAACGATATTTGCCGGCAAATACCAAACATTTCAGGCCCGGACTTGGATTTTTTCACCCTGAAACCTAACCTATTTTATATTCTACTCTTGATTTATATATAGTAAAATTTAAGGTTAATTTATTTTTACTTTTTAATATTTTATTATTGGATTATTATGAAATGAAATTTTATTTATTTTTGGAGGCGGTAGGGTTTAGTATTTTTTGTTTTTTCTCGCTCGCCGCCCCCAGCCCGTCAGACATATAGTATTTTGTTTTGCGTTCGCTTGGCATCGGCGTCGCTTCTTGTCTACATGCATAAGTTATAAACGTGCAACGCAGCCGCCCTTCGTTCACAGTCGTGTGTGTTGGTGAGGCGTTTTTATTTTTTTTTCTGTGTGTGCCGCGCTCTCCTCCGGTCGGCTCTTATTTTTGCTGGTTTGGCCGCGCCGTCCTTCGCCCTCGCGCACTCTCTCCACCCCCTTTTGCATGCTGTAGCGATGTACTGGCACCTCACTAGTTTTACCATTTCGGCGAGTACTCGCGCTCTCGCTCGCTGCCGCCGTTGAGTCCACGTTGACTACGCGCTCACGATTGGTGAAAATCCGCCGACGATTGGTGTGCACGGCGCGTAAAACGTGCCCGGCTCGTTTAAGTCACAACGATAAAATGCGCACGTTTATTCCGCATTGGCTGTGCGGCGGTCGTAGACGTTGGAGATTGGTGGGATTCGTCGTCGGCGTGTGTAATGCGTTGGAATTGCGGTGCGAGTCAACGTGGACTCTTGACGCTCGACGCTCTTTCGGTCTGTATACGGTCGGTCTTTCGGATACACCAGCTTGGGTATACTGGCAATCAGGGCGCCATATTTATATGGAAGCGAGGCGGTTCAGGGGCGGCGGCGGCGGAGCGAGATGTTGGACGCGCGGCGAAGTTGGAACGAGTGAATTGGGGGTTCACCCACATTTTCGCGAAATGCACCACGCCACCACCGCCGCCCCCCTCGACACACTCACACAGTGCGCGCCAGTGAAATGAGATGCTTTGCCGCCGCCGTCAGTTCGCGAAGGCAGCCATTTTGAGGGTAGTGCTGCTGCCGTTCTTTTTTTTTTTTCTACCGACTCTGCTCTCTCGCGGAATGCATGAATGCGCGCGTGTGTTTTTTTAATATTTTTTATATTCCACTTTTATTCGGCGTAGGAGGCGGCGGCGGTTGTAAGGGAAGGGGCGCGCGGATTGGGTGCGCGAATTTATGTACGCACGCCGTAACAAGCGGGTACAAGTTTATTTCATACAGTGTGTTCATGTTCACATTTCTTCTTTTTTTTTTTTGAGAAATTCGGTTGAATAGAAGTAGTTTTTTGAATTTTTTTTTTCTCCCAGCGTGGTGGTGTGTTCCGCTCGCTTGTTCGTACATTATACGCGCTTCCATTACAGGACCTCCTCCGCCGACCAACAAAAACGCATGTACAAACCGATCTTGCCCGATCGAACATAATAACACGCTGCGCTCGTGGTCAGTCAACGTGGACTCGATGCTGCACGAAGACGTGGAGGGCCGCTAGGGCCCAACACATTAAACATAGCCCACCATTTATATGCTCCTATTCATTCTTTTCTTGTGCGTTTTACCTTCTTCTTCTTGGTTTTATTTTTTTCCTACCTTCTTCTTCTTCGCAGGCCGTTTTCTTCGATTCTAGCAATCGCCCGGCACGTTTTGTTTTCTGCCTTGCACGCTAGCGCTGTTTTTACAGGGATGGATTTAAGTTTGAGTATTTTTGTGTCCGTGTGTGGTTTATTACTATAATTAGTATAAACATACTGTATATTTAGGTCGGACGGAATTAGAAATAGTCGCGTCGCGCTCGTCGGCTCGCGTTAATATCGTTTTAAATAAGGCACTTATGCTTGTTGTGTAGACGGTAAGCGCTGCGAAAGCACCTTGAGTTGGTGCTTCTCAGACGCTAGGTGAATGATAATTATGATAATTGTCGAAAAAACTATGAAAATCGCTTGCGAAACAAGTAAAATACAAACGATTGAAGTGTTTTTTATGTTAGGCAACTTAATATGCATTATAAACGTGTGAGTATGACTCGCATGCGCAGTAAAAACCTGGGCGGAGCTCCCACGTGCAATATTTTTAGTAATTTAGGTAATTATTAATCGATTTTTGCGTTTTTAAATGGTAAATTTTAATTAGAGGGAAATACGTTGTTAATTGTTGAAAAAACTATGAAAATTACTTGGAAAACAATAAAACTATAAACAGTAGTAAGTTTTTTATGTTAGGCAATTTAGTAAACATTATACACGTGTGAGTATAACACGCATGCGCGTTAGAAACATGGGCGGAGCTCCCGTAGGTAATTTTATTTAGAATTCAGGCAATTATCAATTTATGTTTGTTTTTTTAAAGCATTTTTTAAAATTATATTAAAATATATCGCAAAATATCGAAAAAACTAAGAAAATCGCTTGAAAAACAACAAAAATACAAACAATATAAGTTTTTTCTTATGTTAGGCAACTTAATACACACAATACGCGTCTGAGTAACTCACGCATGCGTATTATAAACATGGGCGGAGCTCCCACCGATAATTTTTATTAATTAATCGATTTCCGCGTTTAAAATAATAATTTTTAATTATAATAAAACATTTTTCTTATAATAGTTGTTGTTCCGGTCGTCTCTCGGGTCTCGCTTTTTGTTTCTGCCTTCTTTACGCTGTTGTGCTGTCGTTTCGCGTCCTTTCTTGTCGCCTGTCGTCGTTGATCGCTCCTGCGGTTTCAAGCTGCACTCACTCTCCGCGAGCGCACTTTACACACACACCTACACCCGCAAAGTGTGTAAAGTGTAAAGTGTAAATGTAAGTTGTCGCTCCTCATCTCATCACATGATCACATACACTCGCTGCTCGACGCGCTCGGAGTCGTGCCACATCACTTCACAAGCAAACCGTTGCAAAAGCTGCTGCAACTCGCCGGGAATGTCATTTTTCTTCTTGCAAACACCAACAATACCAACACATTCTTGGAGAGGTTTTTTTCTCTTCGTTTTTTTTCTGTTTTGCTTTTTTTTATATTTTGGTCTGAGACTTGGGACTCGGGCAGCACACTGGTGAGTTGTCAGTCGGTTGCTCTTCGTGTCGTGTTCGGCGTGTTGATGTTGACGTGGATGCTGGTCGCCTGCAACCACAGCGCACGACGCACGACGAACCAAGAAGAAAACGGAGGCTTTTGTCGACGTTGTCGAACGTCGTGTCAACGTGCTGTTTGTGTTGTTGATTCTTTTCTTCTTTTCTTTTCTTGTCGTTTAAATTTAATTTTTTTAATTTAACATCATAGGCAACTTTTTATGCATATTTTTTGCCGCGCATGCGTATTAAAATAATGGGCGGAGCACGTTGTACAATATTCGCGCGTAATATCCAAAGTTCTGAACCGATTTCAACGCGAAAAATTCCCTCTTATCTTAATCTAAATTCCGCTCCGCATAAAATAAATTCCGTACAAGACAAGAAGCGCGCTACGCGCAACTAAAAATACTGCGATTTTTTTACGCCTCGTTTTGGTTGTGTCAACTTGGAATGGTATTTTTTCTCTATACGCTTCTTGAAAACCTTGTCCATTCTTCACTCCATTCTTGATGCCGGTCGCCGGTCGGGGCCTGTTTGCACTCTTCTGTTTGCACCCGGCGCTGTGTTTGCATTTCGGCCGCTTCACTTCGCGTGTATCGTGCGTGTATGCGCATACACAACATTTACATCTTCACATCGCTCTGGGAGTTTGTCTTTCCTTACTTACACAGCCTATATAACTGTGTGTGTGTGTGTGTAGTATTTGTTTGTGCGTCATTAGCGTACAGTGTTTAAAAGCTCTCGCTGTGCAAACAGTACACGCATACATTAGCGCCCTCTATCGGTTATATTATAATCTTTTTTATTTGGCCTGATTATTATGAAACAAGCTGAGTCAACAATTAGGAAAGTTGCGCGCTGCGTAAACAAATAAAAATAAATGATACCCGAGGATGTGGATGAGGTGAAAATATAATCGCCACAGAGCGCGCGCGCACATGAAAATGTCGAATCGTTAAATGCTTAAAAACGTAAGACACGCTGGAATCGTACTAATGACTCGACAAACATCGCGAGCGTCGACCGCCGACAGACGTACACGCGTGAATTAACACTGTCAATATTTGTTCTCGTGTTTTTTTCCTTCTCTTCCCACATTTCCACGTAAAAAAATATTTACACACTGTATATTTTGTCTGTGACAATAGATATTTAATATTATAATGGGAATTAATTATTACCATTGAAAAAACGGTGAAAATCGCTTGGAAAACAGCGAAATAAAAGTTTAAGTAAGTTTTGTGAAGTATCTCGCGCATGCGTGTTAGTAAAGTGGGCGGAGCTACCATGTAATAATTCTTTAATAGTTTTTATGGTTTTCAACCGATTTTTATGCAGTAAAAATTTTTTAAATAAAATTTGACGTTGAAAAGTTTTTTTTTTAATTTGTAGGATTTTTGCGTTTGTGAATTAATTTTTGATCGTATGTGATGGTTTATTGTGTCATATCATGCTCATAAAACTGATATTTAATATTATAATGAGAATGAATTATTACCATTGAAAAAACGATGAAAATCGCATGGAAAACACCGAAATTACGTTTTAAGTAAGTATCTCGCGCATGCGTGTTAGTAAAGTGGGCGGAGCTCCCTGTTACTAATTCTTTAATAGTTCTTGTGGTTTTCAACCGATTTTTATGCAGTAAAAAATTTTCTAAATAAAATTTGATGCTGAAAAGTATTTTTTTTTTAATTTATAGGTTTTTTGCATTTGTGAATTATTTTTTTG